TTTAAAGCTCTTTCAATGAGCCCTGCTAAGTCCTGTGCAAAGATCCTTTTCCCCCTTTGAGACAGGTGTACCCCGTCTGTCGCCAGCAGGCCCTGGGGGAAGCAGGGGTACCCAGAGTCTCATCTGAGCTGTGGGCTCTCCAGGGGCCCCTGCCAGCTCTCCACCCACTGCCAGTGCGAGTGCCGACGGGGCAGAGGATGGCCATGTTGCGGTGCTGCCGGTGGGATGAACCCGTTGGAGGTGGCAGTGGTTAAATTTCATTGTTTATTCTGAGCATGCAGACTGATTTTGTGCTTCGAAGGCCATGTTCCTCCATTGTCCAACAGCTGCATCCTTGCCAAATTTCAGCCCATGGCTCCTGAATATGTTCTAGTGAATGATATGTCTTTTCAGGGAAAGGTATTAAATATTTGTCAGATGCTGAACCAGCACATGCCCTCCATCCCGAGTAACCTCCGGACAGGCAATTGGGATGGAAAGCATCCATCTGAGCAGATGGTCTAGCAATGCTCAAAGAACCCCTAAAACAGGGTCATGTGATGAAAAATGTCAGTCTGCCTTTGTAACAGGCTTTGCCAGGAGCTCTTTCTATAATATCATAGATTTGTCTCAACCTTCTGATGCCTGAGACAAATGTAGGGTTTCGGTCCCTGGTTCTGCTGCACCCTCTGGGTGAAACCCGGCCCCTCCAGGTGGAAGGAGAGAGAGGGACGGGGTTACGGCTGAGCTAATGGTGTCCCTCAGCATCTGTCTTCTTGGAGATCCCCCCATCCTGTGGTTGCAGCATGCCCATCAGCTCTCATGCGGACAGGCTGGTAACTGAGCTTTCGTTGCTAAGCACTGGGTGCTGCGTTTCTGCTTCTGCACGTTTATGCAAATAATGGAGGAGAAAAGCCTATACTTTATCTGACTGACAGAGGAGTTGGCTGGCTTGCTCCCCAGTGCTGACAGTGTTGCTTGGTAGGTGACTATCCCGAAGATGATTGAAGTGGAGAGCGTAAATCGAATTTTCAAAGTGCATCTGTACAGTTAGGCAGAAATGTGATGTGAATCCATCTGTTTCCGCTGATGTGAGAATGATGACCTTTTGATTTTAGATAAATGGCTAGTGTGGCACTCGGCCAGGATTCAGGAGTGTTTTCTGAGATTGCATGTGGCTCATTAAATCTTTTACACCGCAGTTAAACATGCCAAAAAAAGACCCAAGTGAAAAAAGCTGCTTTGAACCTCAAACCTGCTTGAACTGCACGTGAATCTCAGAGCTGGAGGGACTTAGATGCTTGTGTCAAGCTTACCAAGATCCACCTGGTTTGAATAGTAAGGAGCACTGGATGTGCTAACGCAGGGAAATCCCTTTGTGCTCATGTCTGTGCAAGCTCCCAGTGCGAGAGGCTGCTTAGCCTCTCTGCATGGGAGGCTGGGACGGAGCAATCGCGTGAGACTGGGAATGTGTGTGGGACTCATCTAAGGGCAACTGAGGTTGTATCACACATTATTGTGGCTTTAGACTAGAAATCGGGAAGAGGCTTTCTAGCAGTAAGACCCGTTTCAGGGAATGGCCCATAGTGCCAGCCCCAGAGCCAGAAGCAGAGGTTCCTGATCCATGCTGGGAAGCAGAGTAATACTACTGGGGCTTGCTGGACCCAGAAGTAACTTGAGTAAGATGGTACAGGGTTGATTTTTTTTCCCTTGTCCTCCCACTGCAAACCTAGGCCTGTGACTCAAAATGAACTTTGGAGGCAGAGTTGGTCCTGGGGAAGACTAAGGAGGACAAACGCCCTTGGTTTGCAGGCATGAAGGGGCACACACTAGGCTGCATTGGGTAGCAGGACAAATCCTGCTCCCTGTAGGGCAGTCAGCCGTTCATTGGGGTTGGGCGTGGGGGTAGAGTTTCCTAATTTGCTGCCCAGAGCTCTTGAGGGTCTAACACCAACTCCACTTGAAAGATGCTCACAGCCCTGTTAAAGCTTGTGCTCATTGACTGTGTGCACACAAAGTATACACACAGTGTATCAAATATACAATATAAAAGAGTGGGGGAAAGTGCTGTCCCATGTATTCTGCATGCAAATGTTTGAAATTACACCTGCAGGTAACCTGCATGCTGCCGAGAGGTCTCAACTCAGTGCACTGTTCTCCAGCTTGTGGGTTTTGGCAGGTTTTTCAGCGGAGGTGTGGACCCGCATCATTAAGCTATGCTTACTTTTCTTCATTACCTTTCAGAGACCCTTGACAAGCATACTTTGGGCCCCCAAAAAGACACAGACCATAGTCGTAAAACCACTGGTCTTAATAGGCTATTTCTTTATGCAAATATGACTGCATGTCCAGTGGATGACTTTAATTGCCCAGTAAAGGATCAAGACTTTGTAGGACCAAAAACCTGTAGGCACGAAATGAATAGAAAAGAGAAATCTTTCGGGTCGATTGGAAAGACTAGAGCTGAGCATTACTTGGAGCTATGTTTGAGAGTGTGGGTGAAAGCAATGTTTGTAGAGCTTAGAAATATTTTCTCTTTTCCTCCAGAGAAGAGTATGTGCTGGCACTGAGCCAGGACCACGGTCTGTCCTTGCCTTGGGATGCAGTAACCTTCTGCCTTAGCCACCCTCTCTGCAGGGCTGTCTGGCATGGGCTACTGACCTCCTAGGATGGCTGGCTGGCTGATACGGAGCGGGCCAGGCTGCAGACCACGGGCTCCGTTCTGATCTCCTGCCCCTCTCTGTAACCCACTGAACTGTGCCCGAGAACAGCATTTTGTCTCTGTTCTCACGTAACATCTTCAACTACTATAACTAAAGGTTAACTTTGTCGCAACAAAAAGTTAAATGAAAACTCACAATTAATAGCTTAGACATTACCTGTTTCCTTTGATCATTATATATTATTTGGATTAGTCATTGCTGACATCAGGCACATTTTCTGTTTTGCAGTGCTTCAATGTCTCCACATTCAGAAACTAACTATCTAACTATCTATCTATCTATCTATCTATCTATCTATCCATCCATCCATCCATCCATTAATCCATAATTATTAATGGAAAATTATAAATTCAGAATTTCTGTAACAGAAATGTCATGAACGAGAGAAAAATCTGAGAACATTTACACTCTTGAAATGAAATAATGGTATTTTAGGCTGCTATTTTCTCCCCATGAAAACCTCAGAACAGACGCACTTCTGAAATGAGGAGGAGGTGTTTGCTGTAAATCGAATAGCACAATTTTATGGAAACAATTTTCTGTATTTTTGTTCTCAGAAATGTTTTTGTTACTTAGCACTCAATAGATCCAGTGTATTTGCCTCAAGACCTGGTATTTGTCCAATGGAGAATATGGAAACATCTGATTATCCTTGCATGTTCGATACTGAATGTCCAGGGCTTAAAAAATGCTGCAACTCATCCAAAGGAACAGGCTGTGTGGATCCAATGCCAGAGGGTATGTTACTGATAAACTCAGGACTGCTTCTAATAGAAATACGCTTAATTTTTCCTTCTAAGGGTGGGAGTGGGCAGGAAAACTGTTACCATAGCTCTTCATAAAACAAATACAGGAATCTGCCTTGGATCAATTCCAGGATATTCATTTTCAGTACTTGCACCCGTGAGTGCTGAACCCTGGGTGCTGCGGGTCCAGTGGACCTTGCTCAGGCTTTTCTCCTTCGCTGGTGCCGCTGCCTGCAGCATATGGTGAACAAGGCCGTAGCTGATGGCTGTACATGGGCTCTTCATATTTGCCAAGTTAAAGCTTGCTTCAGTTTCTCAGAGCCTGCCTATAGCTCTGTTGCTTTCTATAGCATCAGACCTGGGATGACTTGGCTCTTTTGTTTTGTATGCTTCAGGAAGAACATTCTGGTACAACGCGACAGTGCTTGTGAAAATGGATTTTAATGAATTAATCAGAGTGGATTCCCACCTTCTGAATCATTCACGCCTTTTGCACTCCATGGTACGTACAGACACGAACGCTCCTGTGTGCTGCTCGTTGTGTCCACGTTTCTGTTACTCAGTAACCACCACTTGCTCCAGCCCGGGAGGGATCTCGTAGTCCTCTGTGCTGGGCATAACCCTGCCAGCCAGTCGCTCCCCCTTTGTTCCACCAGATGATAATTTTTTGGGCCCTAATTTATCCCTAATTGGTGAATGTCAGCCTCATCCTCAAGGAGCTCAAGTAACATTGATTTATCAGCTTCTTTGGTAAATTTTTCAGGTCTCTTCCGAGGGCAGTTTAAAGACATTCTGAAATACAGGTTTTTTTCTTGCTTAAGAATTGCTTGCTCCAGCTCTGGTGCAGTTCAATTTTGGGTCTATGACCAACAGGGTCCGGATTTCAAGACCTGCAAAGCGTGATGTTTTCTGATAAGGAGTTTTGAGTTAAACCTTTCAAGAGACAAACCTGATCTATGGCACTGGGAACTACATGGCAGGTGGACTCAGCAGCGCCAGAAGTTTCACTGTGAACCCCCAGACGCAGGGGACTGTGCCTGGGTCAAGGGCGTTTCGTTGTCATTCTTGCCACAGAAGCAGCGCTGGGGCAGACAGCAGGGCGTTGCTTTTGCTGTAGGACCGAGGCTCTGCCTCGTGCATGGATTAGCAGCGGCATTGGCAATCACGCGTGCACGGCCACGCGACAGCAGCACGGCGTGCCCCTCCCTATCCCCGACACGGCAGATGGGAAGAGTCCAAGGCAAGCAAGAAAAACACAGCCCTAGCAGATGGGAAGACACGGCAGATGGAAGAGTCCAAGGCAAGCAAGAAAAACACAGCCCTAGCAGATGGGAAGAGTCCAAGGCAAGCAAGAAAAATACAGCCCTAGCAGAGGCGTGAGGCACGCTTCCCGAAAGGAGGGTCCGCAGGAAGAACCAGGCTGCAAACTAAAGCCACACTCAGACAGGGGGGCTCGCTCTGTCCTTTAAGTGGTATTTAGGAAACGGATTGAGGAACTAGGACAAAGACCCTCCAGACCATAAACCCGAAGCATTTCCCTAGTACATATCACCATGCCATGGAGAAAACCAGGCTTGGATATGGCCTTTGAAAGGTACCCAAGAGGGCAGTTCCCTATTTCCCTCCATTTTTATTTCTGCTCCTCCCCAGTTTCCAGCTGGGAGTGGGCTAGTAGCAAAGGAAACCCTTCTTCCATCATCAACTAGCACTGACAGGCAGAAGAATAGAAGGTAGCAGTAGCATGGGGATGTTGCATGAATTTACTTCTTCCTCCTACCTGAATTCACCCTTCTCATATCCTAAAAAAGTGAGAAACCCTGGTCCTGTCGCCTGCAGTATAGTAAGGAGTAGAGGGCAATGATCTACCAAGACTTTCATATCTTGGTCTAAAGCAAGCTATGGCAAAGTCAAACACTCAAAAAAAAGGAAATATAAACTGAAGGTTTGCAATGAGCTACTACTCTGAGGAATGTCTTCCAGGCCCTGTCTGCTCCACTGACTCCTAATGCTCAGCCCACCACCATGTCCCTTCTCTGATCCCTGACTCGCAGTTGTGATGACTTGGTCAGTCCTGGGGTCTCTCTGTGGCTCTTAGTCCCAGCCTTCTTGCTCAGTCTATTGCTTTTCTTCTTTTTCTTTCTATTCCTTTTTTCAGCAGTCTTTTTAGTTGCTTAAAGTAAGAACTATTGGACAGCTTTATTACAGATGAATTGTAATAGCATGTCTAAAGTATATTCTGTCTATTGAGATTTTGATGCTTAAGCATTACAAGCCAAAGAGACTTTTTCCTTTTCTTCCTGAGTTGCATCCTCCTGCCTAAGCATTTGAGATCCGACATGAAGCTCCACACGTCCCTTAGCTTGGCATTTCTGTCCTGTAACTCTGTTGTGAAATGCGGTAATAAGAAGAGCTCACCTTGCATAAATACAGACCTAAATGTTGCCACTTTGCTACGGTGGTTTCTGAATTGGTGCTTTCTACACTCAGATTATGATGATAATCATTGCATAGGTTATGCCTCATTGGCATACAGTTGTGCTGATAAAGAAATGAGATACCAAAGTGTTTGTTCCCCTGTTTTCCAGATTACTGGTGCGTTACAGCCCTTGAATGCCTCTGTGCACCATATCCAGAGTAACCGTGCAGATGTATACGCTGGGACAGTGGCCTCCCAGGTTCTCATTGGACTGCATCAGCCAGCTCCGCTAGCGGAGGTTTCTTCTTCCTTGAAGGACATCGTGAAGCGTGTGTATGAAGTGATTGACACAGAAGTGCAAGGTTAATTATTATAATCCTGTCACGGGGGGAAGCTTTTTCAGGGGGCTTCATCCATCTTCACGTGGGATTTCATCTGTATGACTATCAATTTGCTTTCAAAAATAGCGTAGTGAATCTTGTAAACTTTGCAAATATGGCCCTAACCTACCCATTATAGGATGGAGAGGATTGTAGTTAGTTAATAATTATTTTGGAGTGAATAGTTTGGAGGGGAATACTCCTGCTTCTTCAATTAACTTTATTTTCTCCTAATAGCATAGCATAGACCATCTTCATATGAAAAAGCAAAGGTGTTCAAAATTTGTAGCACAATCATTAGTTATATTAGTCAGGCTCTTAAAAAAAGTGTTTAAAGTATTCTTGGGAAGCAGATACAGTCTGGTTTTATAGACATGTATTACTTCCAGTAGCTTGCATGAAACAAGGAGTATTTATAGTCTGTTAATTACTATAGCGTATTGCTACCTACTTTTTAAATGTTAGGTAAACACTTAAATATATTTGGTTTAAATTATTTTAATCTACTTATTCTGTGTAGTTATCTGAACATTTTCACTCCTGAAATGCATCCTTAAGCACCGTTGTCATCTCTTCTTATTCTGTGTTTACTTTTGAAAACTCAGTCCAACTTCCAGTGAAATCACTGGGTAGATCTCCTTCTCCCTGCCGCTGACATCTCTTAGGTTTGGATGACACCCTGCAACTGTAAGCAAGAGCTGCCACAAACTGTCCTCTTATTCCAATGAACTGGAGTAAAAAGTGAGAGGGTTGTAACTGAATGGGGGCTAGTTTTGGGGAAGGGCAGCATTCTGATTTCATTGCACTCATATACACCCAGAGTTGCTTCAGCAGAGTTACTGCAGATTTACACTGAATTTATCATATCCAGAGCCTGGTCTACACACATTGCAGATCAATCTTGATGCTGCTATCAATATCTATGCAAGGTGTGTTCTTCTTGTTAGATGTCAATGAATGCTCCTATGTTGAATTCAACGCTTGTCCCGAGAAAAACACCTGTGTAAATCTGGAGGGTTATTACAGCTGCAACCCTCAGCACGAACATGCAGATGTCAACCCTCACCAGCTGACCCCAAGAAAGGAAGGTAAGAAACGTAGGTCTCACCTTGGGAAATACTGAGAACACTTCTGCAGGACTTTGTGGTCTATCGCAGGAGCCACCTGCAAGGCAAAGATTTCTGGAGCACACAGTGCCTCTTCTCCTCCTGTTGGGAGCAGATGCCACATAAGCCAGCTGTTAGCTATTTCTGATTGAAATGCAGTGTATATATTTCACGGTAACTGGCGGTTTCTCCTATCTCACCCTCAGCTGTCCGTACTCACCTGCCAAACCCTCTGGCTTCAGACCCTGACTGCTTCTCAGAGCAAGTCGCTCAGTGTCAGTACACCTCCCCAGCCTCCTGGGAAATACGATTAGTGACGCTATTTGTACATGAACTCTCCTTCCCATTTTGACTGCGTGACTGCAGTTGGGGCTCAGTGGTTGTATAATCCCACCCTGGATTATACAGGGTCCTCTGCTGGAGGCAGACGGAGTTTGGCAATGGGTGAAAGAATACTTTGTGGTACCAGTTCAGCAAAACATAGAGGCATGTACTTACAGTCCACAGACATCAATGGGCCTGCTAATAGGCTTAAAGATAATGAGATAAATGAGTGCTTGCAGATTCAATGCTTTAGTTAGAAAACAATTTTACGATCCTTTAATCTCAAAAATTAAGATAATGTATTACTTTATGCTTTTGTGATATGATAATACATTTATTTTCATTTCTATTTATATTACTTCTATTGCTGCTTTTCAGCTGCGGAAAACATGAATGGTATTATTTTGGATTTACGTTGTTAGGAATGCTTTAACTCTTTGATAATACCATTTTTCCTCTAGGCATGACAGCATCTACTCCAAGTTCAGCATTGGATCTCATTAACGCTAGCAATAGCTCTCTGTCTATAAGTAATTCAAGTCTCTTGTCCATAACTAACCAAGCCACAGATGCTGGGTGCTGTAAGTAACCTTGGATTTGAATGAATATTGTCTTGCTTTTAATTCAGCCACTCTTTGATCTCTTTGTCCTGGGGCTGGTTGAATTACAGGAGGGTGTTCGCAGAAGCTGGTAATAGTTTTGGAGTGAATCTCCACCTATGGAAAGGGAAAGAGGCTCCCCCAACGGGGCATTTGAATCAGGGTCTGTAGTGCTGTGACCACTGGAGAAGCCCCACTGTTATTCCCATGGCTACTGAAGGCAACTGGCCTCCTGGAAGTGGAGTTGGCCGCGCTGGCTTCTTGAGCCACTTGTGCGTGGTGAACCATTCAAGTGCAGGTCCCATCATAGGGCTTGTGCTGGATAATCCTGCAGCACGAGAAGCATGCCAGTGAGGGCTGTGCGAGGCCAGCACCACTCACTCACCCTGGACCCAGCCCACTGCATATCCCAGGCTTGTCCTGGAACAAGGTACGGGAGGATCTGCTACCGACCACAGGAGCTCCTCCTGGCCACAGCCACCGGGATGCGGGCCTCTTGCATTCAAGTCTGTAAAGATGTTGGTGGGGTACGTGAGTCAGGGAGGTTGGCCAAAGCTACTCTACACTGGAGTTAGCCTTTGTGAATACTCTCCCTGCTATACATGATAGCTGTCTGAGTAAATTTGTCTTTATATGGGTGCCTTCAGCCCTTTCAGGTGAGAGTTATCACAATGCTTTTATAACAACATCCTGTTCTTCCTGTGGGAGGAAATAGCTTTAAGTAGTTCTTTGCCTAGTTCAGAGAGACAGGCTGGATATTCTTGATCTTCAGCCACAACTTCTGATCCAAGCTGAAGCTAGAGGAATTAAACTGAAGTCCCTGTAGAGCAGGGGCAGTATGGCTTTGGGGGTATTTGGCAGCCACCTGGCTCAGAGGCCTGGAAAAAATTGTGTCGTATTGAAACAATTTAAGAAAACAAACTTTTTTCTCAGGCTAACCATTCGCATGAAAGAATTGAAGTTGTGGCAGCAGCATGCCATGGTCTCTAGGTTAGTGTGGGGGATGATGTTCATCTCACCTAACCCCAGCTGTCTACAGGAGAGGTGTCTAGTCTGGGCTCTCTCTCTGGAGACAGACAGGCTCTGCTGGAGGGCAATTCATCCTACCCAATTTAGACACCTCGTCCTCCTTTGAGGAGAGGAATCATCTCTGAAGGCTCCTGTCTTTCCCCATTGACATGACAATGATTGTACCGGACTAGAGTGGCATAAATAGGTGAAATGCTACCCACCACTCTGCCACCAGCCTGTAAAAGCTGGTGTCTGTGGGATTTTTCTAGGCATAAATGAAGGCAGCCTTTGCCTGAAGAGGTGCATTGTGATGATTAAAGTGACAAAAGGCACAGCAGGTGTCAACATATGTAGAGTACACAGATTCACTACTCCAGACTTACTTCTGCTGCTTGAAGCTGTAGCTCATTGGCTGATTATTAGTGTTACTAGAGATTCAACACAAATAGGTATAGTAAAAGGAAATAAAAAGTGTAAGCACCTAATTAATCACCCTAATGGGATGGTTCATGGATGAGGGTACCCGGTACTGTGACAGGGGCAGAATCTGTCCTGATGTAATGTAAAAAGGAACTTCCCCTATTGATTGTCAAAGTGTTTGTCTATAATGGATTTAGAATAGCACAATGCTTTAAACATGAAATGTTGATTTTTCTGTGATGGCTCTTCCTGGGACTGCGATAGACTCCTCTGCGGTTAGAAACCACCGAATCTTCAGCGTTACCAGCAACGGTTTTGAAATGTCCTGGCATGTCACTTCTACTCTGAACCATACTTTCCAAGTCCAAGTGTTAAAGGGCAAAGAGATTATACAAAACTTGAAGACAGAGGAAATGAAAATGGACGTGTCTGGACTGGAAGCAGGTGTGATGTATTCAGTAGAGATCAGCTATGAAACCTGTGGAAAAACCAGCATCTCCCATCAAAATGTTAAAACAGGTAAATAGCCACTTTAAAATATATCTAATTCCCCCCCCTCCCCTTCTTTCTCCACTCACTTGCAGTTCAGCAATGATCCATTTAGTCCTCCCTGAACTCCATTTTCCACCTCCTTCAGCACTTTTTCTCTCCTCTACCCCAGCATTTATGCAATCCAGACTATCAGGCAGCAGAGCGCTGGCCTTAGTTGATAAAGCAGTGTTGGAGCTGACTCAGACTATTACAGATATTAGGCTAAGGTAGAATACTTTTTTTTTTGTGCTTGGCACTGCATTCTGCTGCCACCCATCTCCCATCAGGCCCCATTTTTCCTGGTTGACGGCTGTGGCCAGTGAGAAATCCAGTCAACTGGTTTGTCAAGGGCTTAGCTGAGCTAACAAGAGTGCCCAGAGGACGGCCAGATTCGGTTGAATATTTGTGAGTGACCAGGATTAAAGGGAATAACGAGATGTGTAAGAAAGCTTGCAGAATACCTGCATAATTTTGTTCAATAAGCTAGTGACACTAGCTCCCTGAGACCCTAGTGTGTTGATCAAACATAATTTTGCTTTTCCTTTATCCTTAAATTATTTCCTAAGCCTTCATGCAAATAAAGAAATAAATCTCTCCACATTTTCTTCAAAAAGCAGGCAGTGAACTATTTAATACTGGCCACAGTGAGAATGCTGCTCTTTACGTTTATCCATAAGAGCCTTCCCTTTGATCAGATGAGGGATGACTCCAGTTTGGGTCAGAAGGAAATTACTCCCTTTGTAGAGGGAAAATAGGAGGTCTAGTGGTTACGGAAACAGGGGGCTGGACTTCAGAGTATGAAGTTGGAGCCCTTGAGAAAAAGAAAAGTTTTCCAAAGATCAGTCCAAAGAGTAACAGCCTCAGGTTGTTTATACAGGTTAAAGTGGTTAATAGATTCCTTGGCTCTTGGTTTTGGCTCACGTGCTCTGTACGTTATCTGCCAGGGCTTACCAGACAGAAAAGTGGCATGCACTGTTTTTTTGTTATTATTTTCAGCCATACTATTCACTCTACCAAGATCAGGAAAAAAATAATAATTGTGACTGGTGGACGAGAGATGAGCTCACAGGCAATTCAACCCCGGATGTAACTCAAATGCAGGAGTTATGTAGGTTCAGGTCCACAAGGGTATGTGTATACCCAGTTCTCACGCAGTTGTAATTAGGCACCTAAATGTCTTTATGGACCTGATGTAAGTGCATCTCCTCAATGTATAGGAAGCTTGTAGCAGAATATTGGCTTTATTTTCTTGGTTTAATACCAAACTCTCTCAACATTCTCCCCCCCTTCTCCCTCCATCAGCTGAGATTTTGGTCTGAGTACATCAGTTTTGACTGAATCCTTTCCTCTTCTGCTTTGTCAGTGTGTGTTTTAATATTGTGTCCTACAGATGCCAAGATATTTGGTGTTACTATGAGGATTCTCAACTACAACTTCACTGATGATTTCCATAATGCCAGCAGCTCAGCGTATGAAGAATTTTCAAGACTGTTGCTTACAGAGGTGATGCTAAAATATCTGTGTGTAATTTTTTTTTTTCAATTTAGAATTTATTTAATGTAATAGAAGATTTTATGTCTGGCTGAAATATCCCTTGAAAATCATCATACTGTTTCCTGTGACCTTTCTTTATAATTAAAACAAAATTCAACTGACTAAACAGATCAAGACCTTGGCCTTATTAGCAATGGAGCCAATGAGAATTTTCCCCTACAGAAGAGTAAAGGAATTAAAAATGAAGGCGTGCAACAGGGACTCCTTTCCTTGGATCTTTAGTTTGGCAATAAACTCACACTGAATTGACTTGAGGCTTTTTAATGGATTATTGAAATGACATTGCTGGCATTCATTTCAGCACTGTCTTCTGATTCTGACTGCTCTCAAAGCTCTTTCTTCTTAAGGAAAAGTGACCAGGTCAGGCTTTCTTCTCCAGCCCCATTCACTGCACGCACACATGCAGCCACTGTCCATGCTCAGGTGTAATCAGCCATAAACAAAACTTGAGCCATGAAGTCTGTTACCAGCTCTCAGCTTCCCAAACAGGGGGGACGTTTCAGACGCAGCAATCTCTTACAGTTTTGCTGTAGAGAACAGGGCCCATACAGAGGAGCTGGAATCTCCATCCAAAATTAGACTTTCCCAAAACAAAGGGGGACTCATAAACATATGAATATAAATCCGAGGAAAAAAAAGACAATAATGGAGCTATACTTTCAAAGGCAGCGCAGAAGAGGTGTTTGCTCATGAGAAATGGAAGTTGAATCTCCTGACATGGTTTTATTTCCCATAGCTGCAAATTGTTTGCTTTTGTTGTGCAGGAGGATTTTTGTCAGTGAATCTTTGCTGAGACTAATGCAGATGTATTTGGCATCATGAGGTCGGGAAGGAAAAGTAGCGTTGCCCATCTGTGTTGCTTCTGCCTCCTTGGGTGTTTGGGAGCACAACATCCCCCTCTCACTTCCTCTCTCCTCTCTTTTTCTTGCCTCCCCACCCTGATCTGAACTTAGACCAGTTAAAGAGCTTGTTTGTAGGAATTTTTGGAGCAAACTCTGGCTGAACAGGAGCAAAGCCGTATAGATTTATGGTGCTGCATTGCGTGCTCAAAGCCATGTTTTGAGGTGTATGTAGGAACAAAAGGCTCAAGCATGGAGATGCCTTCTAGAGATGTAAGGCAAAACTGCCAACTCTGGCACTGCTCAAATATTGACAGCAGTATGCCAGCTTTAACGTTCAGAGCAACGCCATTTGTTCAACTGATGTGTCTACTTACCGGATTGGTAATCAACCATAACTGTGATATTGCTTTGAAGCTGGGCTGTCTCAAACACATTTTCTTGAAGTTATCCACAACCATTTTTCTTGTCTCTCATCCTGAGATTTCTTTGTCATTAGACTCGGCTGCAGGCTGGACTTGGACTGGTGAGTTTCAAATAAGCCCGGGGAGCTAAAGCTATGCCATACTGGTAAACGAAACTTCCTGAACCATTCTGACACTGACACCAATTGGCACAAACCAGCCTGCATCTGTGCAGCTGGGTCTTCCAAAGTACGGCGGTCACACTCAGATTGCCTGTGGGACTGGCCCCTGGCCGATGCTGTGTCAGACTCTGCCTGGGTACTGCCTGGGGGACTGCTAGCTGGTAGCAGCCAAAATCAAGCCAGAGTCTGCTCCAGCAACAGTGGAGATGACCAAGTTCCACTGCCTGGGAGCGCAGAGGTGAATACATAGGAGGCTTGGGAAGAAAAGCTTATGTGACATACAGAGCTAACATCAAGGGTCTGATGCACGCAGACTTACTGAGCCAATTCAGCTGTGATGCATGCAGACAGGGGCAGAAGGAATTCTGCTCCCTTGAGCCAGAATGAAATTTGTTTTGTAAGACCAGTCGTCAGATGGGTACCATTTTCAAGGGTACCTAGGTGAACCAAGGAGACTCACACTTCTCTGTGCCCCAGTAACCTCTGAAAAGTAAGATTTCTGAAACACTTTGAAACTTTCTTTTTACAACATTTTCTATGTTGTGCATGTATAAATCTTTAAAATGGTACCACCGTAGTTCAGTTTTAAAAGGAGCTATTCCTGCTGGGTTCCTAATTGTCGATGCTTCTCTCCCTTTGCTCAGCTTGAAAATTCATTTCCAGCCAACATTTCTGCTTTATACAAGTCTGGGAAGCTGAAAGTGCAGACCGAATCCCTGCAAGCCGGAAGCATCATTGTGAGGCTCAGAATCACTGTGCAGGACCCCGAGTTCCCAGTCGATGCCTCCACATTTGCCCCGGTGCTTTCTTACCTATACAATGGCTCTGCGCTTTTGGTGGATCAGCAAAACACTGCAGTAGAAGGTAATTTTTTTAAAATTTTTTCTTCCAAACAACAAAACAGCATTTGTAGTTTGATCATGCACAGTATCACCAGCATTCTTCATGAAAAATGCTTTCTAGAGAGACAAAGTATGTGGAGCTTACAGTGGTTTGTTGGAGGGAAAACCGTGACACAAGAACTCCTCCATGGGCTTTTATCCATAAGCCCAAAAGGGGTCGGAAGAAGGAGCGTTGGCTGTCCCCAGGTACCTGCAGGCACTGCTTCCCTCCACTGTGTTTAAGGAGGAGTGGAGCCCTTGATTTTCCTATTAATTTTCCTCTCTCCTCCTTGTGAGCAGTTGGAAGTTTGCCATATCTCTCTCGCACTGAATTGCGGATAGGATTACTGTGGAATATTTGTAGCCTTTAGCATACACATTCTCTCTAGACAGTTTTGTGCTTCAAGGCTGTGGGGCTGTATTTGGGCCAGGGCTTAAGAAAAGAAATCTAACATCTTCACTACAGAAATCCAGCCAGAGAAATTCCTAAATGTCCCCTCAGTGAATAGGACTAAAGGAACGTATGGAATTTATGTTAAACTAGGCCTTTGTTTGATCTTCAGTAATCACCATTTTTATCTTCAAAGGACTAAGGTCTGGCTTCAGGTTTCCCAGCTGGCAGAGCCAGCCAGAGTTCAGAGAGTTGCCAAAGCCAACAGAATGGGTTATTCTTCTTCCCCAGTGCACTGAACCCTTAAAAGCTTATTTACTGTGATCAGGGAAAACTCCCTTTGGAGTGGCAGAGCATATGGAGGTTAAGGGGAACAGGACAGGAAAACAACAGAAGAGACAAATTGCACTTGAAGCCTACAAATATCACAGTGGTAGCAGATACTGAATTGCAGGATGCTGATGTGTGCCAAAATACTTCACAAACATTATTGATCCTGGGACCGAAAGAGTGGGGAGGAAGAAGGCAATAGCTCTGGACCATTACTTTAATTTCAGAAAGCCAGGTGGCTTCCAGTAGCACCATTCTTAGCCAGGAGCACAGCCAACTCTTCCTTAGGGGCAGAGAAAAGGGGTCTATTTCTTAGCTCTGCCCAAACAAGCATTTGTTTGACATGAGTTTCCTAAAGTCAGATGTGGAAAATAAGGCAAAGGAGTGCAGCACATGAAGGAAAGATTTGTATAATGGGCTGTACTTCTTCCTGACCCCTGAGAGCCCTGGGACGTGCCCTTTGGCAGTAAGCCCGCACAGCTCCTCTTGCACCAGTGCAGCAATGCCACCTGGATCCTCTGTGGAGCCTGGCCACCAAAAGGCTACGTGCTTGGTTTAGTGACAGTGGCAGAGCAGGGAATTCAACTTTGAAACAGCAAGGATGAGAAGCCAGAAGGGATAGCACAAATGAAGGGAGTGGAGCAATTGCACCTCTCTTTGTAGACTCATAAATTATTAAGTTTACTGCCATGATCAACAGAGACACTAAAATGGCTGGCTGTTGTGTGAGGCATGGTAAGGAAAGAGAAAGGGACGCGTGCTGAGTCAGGTCCAAGATCCAGCTAGCACAATATCATGTCCTCAGTAGCAGCCAGGAGCCAATTCCTGGAGAAGTGTAAGAATACAGCAAGTGTAGATGATACCTCTCACTAAAACTCTCTTAGCCACCAGCCGTTTTCAGCTCCAGGACTCCCTGAATCCAAAGTGATTTCTTTGGGTTTCTCCTCCATGGGTTCCCCGTGAAGTCATGCAAACCTTTAGCATGTGCAACATCATCAAGCAAGGAATTTCACAGATTTTTACCCATTGCATGTACCTCTTACAGGTATAATGGGTAATCAGAGCGAACACAAAGGTGGTTTTTTAATAGTTCTTGGAGTAGGACTGTTGGTTGAGGTGTGTGTCTGGGGAAGGGACTTGCCAAACGTGAAAGGCCAGAGAGATGCCAAGAGTGCAGAAAAAGAGCACAGAGCACACCTTGCCTGAGATGTAATGGTTGTAGAGGAAAAAAGTGCAGCGTGTGTGTGCATGTATGTGCATGAGTGATGTACTAGTGCCAGTGAGCACTGAGAAGAGAACATAAGTGTTTTGACCTGATGCGTGACTGAATTTGGCCTTCAGAGGTAAAGGAATTTGCTTAAAAAGCCATGCTAAGTGATGAGAAAGGAAACCCTCAGAGACAATGGAGCCAGTGAATGTAAGTTATTTGGCAATTAGCACGGGAGCATCTCTCAGATGAAGCCATCAAGAGTCACGATTACCTCATAGCATAGTAAGGCATTAATGAGAGCACTTTCATTGCTGATGCTTTAGTCATTCCTGCATACTTCTGTATTCCCTCTAAGTGGCTTAGGCTATAACATAGTAGACAGATGCTGGCCATAGGCGCATGAAATTGTCTAATGGAAAAATAATGGATGCAACAATTATCTAATGAAGAAGAAAGGCAAAAGAGTTGAAATATTAGCTGGAAGGAAGTAAAAGCGGAAGGCTGTCTGCAAGCAGAAAGATGAATGCGTGTATGCGCATGCACACACCTGCTCTGCGCTTTCTGTTTCTAGAACGGGACTTTCCTTTGTTTCAGAGAAATAATCACAGTGATTAATCTCTGCATGTTTGCAGAACAAGCACTTATGATAATGCATTGTTCCAAATAATTTTTTAGGCTCTGACCAGAATTATTTGTCCCAAGGCACAGTTTTCAGTCTAGTTTTCTGCTCTCCCTCACTTACGGCCCTGAGGCAGCGAGGGTGCATGCACAAGGGAGTGCACACAGGGAGGGCTCACATGGGATTCACTGAGATTGTTCAAGTCCAAAGCATTAACTTGGCCTTCGCATGTTTGCTGGAACAGGGTGCAAATGGTAATATAAGACTCCAGATCTAAATCCTTCCAGAGTGAAGAGACTCGGCAATAAAATAGGTCTGTAACTCCATGAAAGAAACATCTCCAACTGATTCAGAGCAGCTGAAATTAGACATAAGGAACACCCTTAGAGCATATTCACGCATTGATGAACCAGGATCTCTTTTCTGAGACTACCAGAAAGAGGGTCACAGTTTTACAGTATTACCTCTGAGAAGAAATCTTTTCTAAAAAGAGTTTTTGCCCTTAGCACTTCCTCAGTTAAGAACTGAAGAATGCTTCTTGTGGGAGTTACTTGCATTTACCTCTTATTTGAAGCAGAAAATTATTTGGATTAAGTCTCTGTTTAATATTCTGTCTACTGGTAGCTAGTGGTAACAGATCTATTCATTACCTGATGTATCTGGAGGTACTGTACGCAGAACTTGGTATAATGTATGCTTTTGATATAGCTATAGTACAAACCTACAATATTTTTTTCACTTCAAATAAATGTTTACTTCTAAAAAAAAATTATTAAAAAAATCTTTACCGAGAGAAAATATTTTTCAAAGTACAAGGACAAAGGTTGATTTTTACATGAGAGAATCACAACACAGATACAGAGTTCTGCATCACTCAGAGCTTGGCTGTCAGGTAAACGATGAAAAAGGAAGACCACGTTCATAAATTCAAAAACTGAAGAAAGGACCACTTTATGATTATTTCTAGCTTAATGCAGCCAGAAGGGAGGCTGTCTGACCGACGTTCTGGTTTTCTTCTTACAGACTGGGATGAATGTGCTTCTCATGCCGAGAATGACTGCTCTGTGTTTGCAGAGTGTATCAATTTGATGGGCTCGTACCTGTGCAGATGCAAGACAGCCATGGATACCAATCCATCCCGACCTGGAAGAAACTGTGAGGGTGAGCAAAAGACTGGCATGTAGTTTCTCTTTGCCATGAAATGTTGGAATAAGTTGCATTTTTCTACCTCTGCTTTTATTGCAACTGTTCATATAGCACACAACATGTATATAGATGCACCTTTGCAGTCTCTGGCTGAAGGAGTATATATGATCTGTCTCTGAAAATGAAGGTGCACCTTATATGTGCCTTCAGATTAAATCTCTCTGAGATCCTTCTTGATTAGCCTAATGACTGACTGCTGAGAAACATAACACATACTTTTTCCTCCTTTGGTACGTCTGAGGCTAATTTCCTCACACTAATGATCCATGTCCTCCCAACCAGAAGAGGAGACCCAGGAATCAGATCTGCTTCTTTGTGTAGGCACAAACCAGATTCAACACCATAAAAATCACATATGCTACAATGTGTTAATGAAATATCCAAGACCTGTTTCTGTAACACTATTACGTGTGGCTGAGTGGTCTCAGCCCCATTTTCAGCTCAGACCTTGGTGCCTCCTCATCCAGTTTGAGGTCCCATTTCAATGCGCATTTGCTATGTTGTAGGTGAGATTTTGGACCCTCTCACAGAAACAACGGCTCCTGAAGTAACAAACAGCACAGAGTTTGTTCCCGAAGAAGGAAACCCTGCAGCCCCCGCTTCCCCTGCCACCACCAAGATGGTGGGAGCTGTGGGCTCTGAGATGAGCACCCCCGTATACCTCCCTGCTGCACTGCCCCCGGGTGACAAGCCAGTGCCCCACGGTCATTCTCCCACCAGTGCTGCTCCAGCCCCTCGGAGAAAAGGCCTGGCACCACAGATGGGCTTCGGCAGGGACAACAGCCCCACGGCCACGGGCGTCGCAGCCAGCAAGGAACTGCCCGTGACCACAGGGCGGCGGGCGGCCGTAAGTCCATCACAGCGAAGCTCTGTGGCAGAGGCTTCCCCCGGTGCATCACAGCGAGCGGCTGCTCTCACAAATGCGCCCATGGGCACAGCTGGGCAAGAGCAGCTCATTTTGCCGTTGCTGCTGTTTCCAAATCAAACAGCCTTTGCTACCACTAGAAGTCACACAGCTTTTGATGTGCCTCAAGCCAGCTCTCAAGGTGGTCCTGGTACAGCTCTGCCGGCCAGAGGGGATGCTGGCGTTCCCACCCTCAATGCCACTCTCAGAGCACATGTAGAAACGGAAAGAGAGAACAGCTCTTGGTCCGAGAAATACGCTGCAGCCCTGGGGTCACCAGCTCTGCCAGGCGCCTCTCCAGCTCCCAGCCCGATGCCAGGCCCAGCCATGGACCGCAGTGAGTAATTTGGCTGCATGAGAAACACAGCCTCACTCAGAGTCTGGAAAGATGCACAGTTGGAATCTGGTCTGGGATGAAGGCATCTGAAACTAGTTTGTCTATGTCAAAATTATTTTCTTGCAGGAACTGGCACTTTATTCTAAATCAGCATGTCAAAATAATTTCTCTTTCTGGTAATTTGGCAGTTAGTTTTATCGATGTTACATTTCTTCATCTCAAAGCAGATGAAGCAAATCATACGGTGCACTGAGCGTGGCTCATCGAAATGTATGCTGCTTGTCCTTTTGCCACACATCTTGGTTTCTCCTGCATGCTCTGGCACCAGGGTACTGCAGCAGCAGCCGCCTGTAGAGTTACCTTAGAGACCCAGGAAGGCAAACGATCTGCCTTCCTATTCCTCTCAGCAGAGTATGGATTAGGCAGAGCCCCGCAAATCCCCTGTGGGGCAGGAGCTGCATGGAAACCTGTAAGCCTCTTTTTCAAGAGCTGTAATTGAGAGTAACTGGGCTGGCGGGGAGGGCTTCATCTGTTTGGGTTTGGGCAGATGTATTGCAGCTAATTAGGGGATTTTTCTGTTGATTGCAGCTGAATCATATTTCAAGGTTAGAGTCAGATTTGGTCTTTACAGTTTTGTTTGGCGTAGGAATGCTGCTGTCTCTGCCTATCACTAAATGTATTTTTTCTTTAGTGTGTTAGTAAGTGATAACTATTTCGGTTTTGTTTCTGCTTGTCTTTATTCTGCCTCTCATGCCCTCCACATCTCTCCGATCCCAAACCGCACTCCTCTCTGCTCTTTTCTCTTCCCTTCCCCTATGATCTCCTGTTCCTGGGGGTCTCCACTCATCCAGCCCCACTTCTGGTTCTCCCTCATTCCTTTCTCCCTGGAAAACCTCTTTTTCAGCCGTGTAAGGCCAGCTCTGCTGCTTCTCCAGCCTCTTTTGTACCACCACTCCTGATCACCAGTGCCACAGTGTCCGCTTCTCCTGTCCTGCTAAGCTCTGGGCAGCCATGCCGATGCCCCTGTTCAGCTTTTGTCTTCTCTCTTCTTCATGTTGTACCTTTCGCTCTGCCTGGCATTGGTGAGACCTGGGAACAGAGCTGGGCAAATAACTGATTTGGGACCTCAGCGGAGGAAAGAAATAATTTTGGACCAAACAACATGTTGACCTGAATTGAAAAGCTCCATTTACTGCTTTGCCTTGTGTTCCCCCTGCCCCCTTTCAATGTAGGGAAGAGTAAAAAAAATGTGCTTTTTTTTAAAAAATGAAAACAAAACATTTTCATTTTTTTAAAAATATAGAAATAGCTAATTTTAACTGACAAAAACCCCAAAGGTCGTTTTCTTCCAGCTGGAAAACAAATTGAAGAATTCTACACAAAGAAGTTCAGTTTATAAAAACTTGTTTTCTTTTCCTGATGAATCAAATATTCAGGCAAGTGCTTTTGCTGGGAAAGAAACTTGTGAAGGAATTATGCCTGGGGAACAAGAGGAAGCACCACTGTAGTGGTATCTCACTAGCCCGGGGCAGGAAATTCAGGGGGCAAAAATCCATGTTTGGTGAAGTTTAATATATAGCTCCTCCTTGTGGCAACATCTCTGACCTGAAGGGTCAACCTCAGCCAACTCTTCGTAGTCTGTCATGTCTTTTAAATACTGACTTTTTTTTTTTGTTCGAAAATTGTTCAGAACATTTTCCCCTCTCACCATCAGATAACTGAATGTGGTTTATCTCCTAAATACCTATGTTCACATGACAGGACAAGCCATAGCAAAAAGCAAGCCCAAATCCTTTGATCTGACCAGTGGCGGTGAGGGTTCCTTTGGGATCAGAAGTATGCTGGGATAAAGGAAGCCCGCTTCGGTGGCTTGCTTTAAGCAGGCATGACTTTCTCCTCTCCCCTGCAAAGCTTTACTTGATGACTATTTCTTTTCTTCTAGTACCTGTCCCAGCTCAAAGGATTATTGTCCCCAGTGTGACTACAACCAACTTTGATGTAGCATGGTCCACAGAGTTTATGCAGAGCCCTGCTTTTCAATTCCTGCTGCTTCAGAAAAAGTAGCTAATATGGGAGACTAAAACTCAGTACAGGACTCTGACAGTCTCAGAGCTGGAACCTGGTGCCTTATATACTGTTGAAATCAGGACAGGTGTGTGTAGGGAGGAAAGCAAGCTGGTACACCAGAAAGTAAAGACTGGTAACTTGATTCAGAAACAGTTTTAAACTGAATCCTCAGCCAGATGATAGAGTTCTTGAGGTCTTTGGTGAAGACTATCCTATATTCATATGAAACATTGAAACGTTAGATCTTGGTATGCTAGGAGTGATGATCTGTTAGCAGCTGGAAGGCAGTGTGAAGACAATTGGCTGGCAATGGCCACGGTGTTGGGTGATGGCAGTCAGCTTGCCTGGCTAGCCTCTAAAAGGATGCTCAGGGTATGGACCATGTCTTGAGAAGCCCTTTCTCTCCTGCTTGTGATCACCTTCAGTGTCTGTAGTAACAATGCCAAAACCAGTGATAGTGAGAAATGACCTAAAACATTTGAGACTGCCTTAATGTGATTCGGCAGATACAGCTCCAGGGAGGAGGCATACACCCTGTTGGGATTCATCTCATCTTACAATAGCTGCCTAAAATGTCTAATCTCAGGCAGCGGTCTAGCCTTCCTCTGATGTTGGAGGGAGGACCTTGGTGCTGGTATGATTTGCCCTCTGGAGGGACTGGTGTCGCCCTGTTGTGTGTAGGGGGAGCTGGGACAGACAGCTGAGTCTAGGAGAGCAATTCAGGTGCCTGAACATAGCCATAGAGCAACATTTCAGATGCCCCAGAGCATCCAAGACAGAGCTGGCAGATATAAGACCTACAGGAGGCCTGTGCCCTTCTTGAGAGGCATCCAGGGGCCAGAGAGGGCAGACTAAGGTGCTGGATGCCTATATTTAGGCATTTGGGGGTTTGGCTACATTTCAGAGGACTGGCCTTCTGCTGTTATGAGTTGATGCATACCCCGTGTGGCCAGGCATGCCAGTGACTGTCACACACTTGTCCATGGACTGTAGTCCATGGAACATATATTTAAATTGTCTTTTTCTTACTTCGCAGCTGTCCAGAAACTTAGAGGCACAGTACGGATAACAAATGTGAAATACTCTCCGGGCTTTAGCAATACAAGAAGTGAAGAATACCAAACCTTTGCACAGCTCTTTGTTGATGAAGTAAGTGGCTAAGAAGGACGTGACCTGCTACCGGTCTCAATGAAACCACGTGTATCATCTTTTTCCCATGAAGGCTGTATGCCACATGTGCGTCCCTTGACACACCTGTAAGGTTTGAGTCCCCCTGACTGCCTGAGACTGCAGGATGAGCGTGCAGCCATGTTTTAGAGCGAGATCAGGATTTGGGGATTCTCTGGCGCCTCCATTTCCTCTGCTTCTCACACCCGATTAATTTCCTTCAGGGATGTGGTGAAAAGTTAATGGATATTTGCAAGGCGCTCTGATATCCTTGCCCTGCACAGCGGTATATTAATGAACTGTATGATTGTTATTACCCTTTGTCATAGTACCTTAAGGCTGACATTTCTTATGATCGTCCTTGGTTTTGTAGCCCTGTATCTGGAAAGGGAGTGGTTTCTTGGTAAGTCACCTCTGCCCTCACTTCTAATTACAGCACAGGATATCAAAGCACACTGCGAGATCAGCTTCACCTTTAATGCTCTCTCAATTCTCAGGCATTGCCTTTGACAGTATTACTCTCCTAATTTCTTAGTGTATTTATCAGAAGTTTGTTCCTGCTGGTGTTTACTCAAACACACCTGTGCTTGGAAAACCACTGGTTATGCTGGGCTGCTTTATTGCCTTCCCTATCTCCCCTTAACTGCCTGTGTTTTTAGAGGCCTCGATAACTGTGATGATAAATCCATCTCTGACAATCATATGAATTTTCAAATCCTGCAGAAGCCTCCCCAAACTCTCACTGTGTACAGCGTTACAACCTGTCACTGAAGTACAGCTGTCCGCAGCAGCTGCACTGACAACGGCGTGTGTTCAGGCAGAGGTCAGGCCAGTGTGGAGTTAGAGACGGCCGCAAGGAGGGAAAAGCGTGATCCGTTTAGCTGTGCATGATGTTTTCCTGGATATCAAATAAGTTTCCCACTGGTGGTTCCCAGTTTGCACCTTTCTGGATGTGTTAGCGGAGCACAGCTTTCTCGGAGTTGTTTCGGCCCCAAGCTGTCACATCAGAAAAACAGTCACAAGATGAGAGTGACGTGATTAGCAAAGTGAAAAGGGAACAATTTTCCACTGACCTCACTCTCATTCAGCATCGCTCTCTGCCCGAGGCTATTTTGGAATAGCATAGTATTAAAATGGACCACAATGAATATATTTTCTTCATGGACTATTCAGTCATATACCTTAATCCAGAAAATCATCGATACAAATATATTTGAAAAATTTGTAAAATGATTACATAAAGGAACTAAAGTAAGTTTTTGTGTCAGTTTCACACAGTTCTCAAAGTTTCAGGCAGAAAGTGATCACTTGTGATTATAAGGAACTAACTCCCTTTTCTAGAGCACACACTTTGTGGATCAGCCGTCGAGGTGCGTTAGCATTGATTCCAGCTACTTCTGAGCCACTGTATGTAGGCTATAGTATCATAGCTACTGTACATGGCAAAATATGTTGCAAGTGTTTTATTACAAATGTTGTGTTTCTAGATGCCAAAGAAAAGGAAGTTTAGGAAAACAAAAGATCTGCATATTTTCTTTTCAGCTTATAAGGGCCAGAAATTGATCCTTTAAAGTACGTGAGGAAAGTTTAATGGGCTTTAAAAGCACTATCAGGTTCCAGTTAAATAAACTTTGCCAGAGATTTTTTTTTTAAACCTCTTTGGAGTCACCATCTACGATTCAGAGGATTTATAAATCCTAATGTGTATAATGTTCTTTAGCGTAGAGCTGCCCCAGCACTTAAGTGCCATGCGGTTAAATTGGCAGCACAGCAAATGGAAATACCATCCTTTAAATAATGTGTAGATAAGAATGAGGTAAAAACTTGATGTGACAACTTGCACTGTCATCGTCCAAGCTAATTTCACCATCCTCCTTGCAATGCAACTGAAAAACAACATAGCTAAGGGCGAGAGAGTATTTTAGTCTTCTTGGGCTTTGCTCAGCCTGTCTTTTGCAACAGCCAAGAATATCATGGCTTGTCCTTAAGAAAATGAATCAGGAAAACAAAAGGTTTGAATTGAAAATACATTCACTGAGGTTTATTAAATTCCTGAGTGGAAAAGGTTGTTTTGAATTCGGGTGTCTTAAACTTAACTGATTGACAAAAGTGTGAGACTAATAAATGATATTGCCTTATCAAGGTGACCCCCTCATTTGGAAGTGACATAGCCTTTGTTTGATGTAGCTTAATGCACTTAAAATGATTGCAGTTAAAGCTACCTGAATGTGGAATGAGTGTTGATACAGGGATTAAGGCAGTTTCATTATTCCAGTGTAATTTCACCCCTTTTGTTAATCTGAGTTTATCCGCAATTTGGGACATCCTTAAAGCTGCTGGTGATGGTGGCTGGGCAGATGTGTGCTCTAGCACCTTCTCTCTGAAGGTGCAGCCAAAGCACGGACAGTGGGGAGGGTTTTTTTTCTCTTTGAGTGAAAAAACAGTATTCATGCAGTGTTCTGTTCAAATTAACGTACCTTTTACTTTCTTATTTCCAGTTTCCAGACTGCCAGTACGTTACCTGCTCTGCTGGCCACGCAGGCTCCTGTGCAGGCACCCACAGTAGCTCCAACGAGCTGCTGACATCTTGTCTGGAACCTATGGATGGGTGGTCCCAGAAAACCCACCAAACATGCCACAGCCACCCACGGGGTGAGCCTGGCTGCCTGAGCCTGCCACTTTCCTTTTGCTCAAAAACCCTATTGGCCTCTCCCATCCTGTTAAATCGGTTTTAGTGCGGCTTCCATCTGGCCCTGAACTTGGACTTTACCTGCCTCCTGTTTTTCTTGCCTGAAGAAGGGACATTCCCTTCCCTCGATGCTGGTGTTAATTTTGCTCATGTTCTCTCCCTTCCTTGTGGCTCTTCTTCTGGCATACCAATTTCTCCTGGTCTGGCATCTCTAGTGTTTCCTTTGTGTGCTACAGGAATTGTAGATACAATGATGGATCCCAAAATAATTTATTTGTCTAGTGAGAAAACCTCATACTCAAGGGTATTATATATTGAATATTTCCTTCTAAAAAGTTTACCCTTTCTTTTCTTTTTTTTTCTAGCCCCACTTCATCAACCATTATTTTGATAACCTAGGGTGTGGTACCTGTCGTGAAATCATGTAGCTTTCTGGATAAAGGGTTTTGTAGTGTCACCTAGTGGCTAAATACATATACAGGGACTGTCCCCCTGACACTTTTCAAGCTCCGAGTCCTACTTTGTGAGGAAAAATATGAATAAGGACAGAAACAAAACAAACAAACAAACAAAAAACCAGACCAAAAAAATTCCCAAGGCTTAGGTAAAAAGAAGCACCGATAAAATAAAATCTTCAGGAGACAGACAAGAAGGGAATACTGGTTAAATCAGGGATGGGCTAAGAGGATGTCACAGGTATGTGTATTTAATGTCCAGAAGTTCAGACAAAAACTATGAAAGATGAAAACTTAGGGCTGACCTCCAACTTTTCAGTACATGCTTGTGAAACAGCAGAAAGAGAGAGAAGGGGCCCAAGAGTCCCCCAGCTTGGTGAAACGGGAGATTTTGGGGCTGACAAGGACAGCCTTCGATCTGCCCAGGCTTTCATAGGGAAGTTATCTCTTTCCATCCTCCCGGCTCTGCCTGCGTGCCCCGTGGGGCACTGCAAGGTTTGCTGTGTGGGACCTCCAGGCATGTGGGAGCCCTTTCCAGGTGCATGCAGGGGGTTTGCTCTGTGCAATGTTACCTTGCCACCAAGTGCATGCAACACACATCAGCTCTGGCGACTCAGAAAAGGGCTGCAGCATGCCTGAAAAATCTGGGGCTGTCTGCAGGGCTGGAAAATACATAGTGGGCAAGTAAGTATGGGCTTGATAACACACAGCAGGCAGGTAAGTCAGGCTTGGCACGTAGGTGCGCGAGAGCTGTGGTCACCTGGGAGAATCCAGCACAAAATGCATGAGCTCTGTGCATGGGTGCAAGAGAAATGAGGCTGCTTCTCCCATCGGCTCCCACCGCTGACCCTTGCGTTGCCTCTTCCCTGATCTCTCCCTGGTAGGAGTCACCACCTGCACCCCTGAGCATTACACCACTGCCATAAGCTCTGCCTTAAACTCATGGCTGAAATCCAGCCCTGCTGGTCCAGATATTTCCTGCAGGAGATGTGTAGAGGAAGAAGGGGTTGGAAGTGACAGCAACATAGCCCCTCCTGCCCCCTTAATTCTCTGGAAAGTTGAGCTAGGGAAGGAAGTGAGCGATGTACCCTAAAGAGAGGGCCTAAAGCAGAGCAAGGTGCTGGGAAAGAGGTGCGACTCTCCTGCGCAGGGCAGCAACGTGCCAGCTCTCACCTGGGCCAAGTGCTGCTCGTCTGGCCCTTACAGTGCAGTTGCTCTGCTGCTCTGTGCCTTCCTCTCTGCTGGCATCTCCTGGGAGCCTGACAGCTATGGGAGGGCAAAGGCAAAGAGCAAGTATGCTGAGAAATCACAAAAATTTAGGTGTTTCTGTGGCTGTTTCCATCTCTCTGTGTCCTGCATTGAAGCTAGCGGCTGCTATGTAGAAGGAAGCTGTGTGTATCCCAGGCTCAGGAGAGTTGACAGGGATGGCATGGGATTTGTCCTTCGTGTGCTTTTGGGAGCTGCTATCTTACCGTGGTCAGTCTCCTGTTGCACTTTTGCTGGCAGTTTCTAAGTGCAATTTTAATACCAATAGCTCAGAACAGCCTGTACTACATACCTGATGCAGGCTTGAAAGTTACGTCCCACACTTTCTGTTGCTGCACTTTTTGTTTGTGTGGAAGAATTTAAAAAGACTTCCCAGACACACATGAAAGTTGCTAAGAAACACAGAGGATCTGTGAGCATCTCCTGGAGAAAGCGAGAGAAGAAAATATACAATTGTAATGGGAAAATTCAGGATGCTGATGGATGGTACCACACAGCCTGTGCTTACCCTGGCATCTAGTCTTCAGGTATGAGCTCTGCCTGCATTGTGGTTAGATGTTGGGGCAAGACCTGGCATGCAAACCTCTGTGAGTGTGCCCTGTTTTCCCTTGGGACATGCAGGTAGGCAGAGTGTCCAGCACAGCCTTATTGGGCCCCTTGTCTGGGCGACAGGAGGAAAAGGACTGAGGGGAGCACTTGTGGATGTATATCAATTTCTCTTTGTGGTGAGTTTCTCAGAAATAGGTCTCTATTTCTGTGTATAATGTTTTCTCAACTTGTGCTTTAAAGCTGAATTAATATTAGCCTTGTGTCTTGTCTGGGGTTGGTCCTGTGAGATGATGCCATCTGACCTGTGTCTGCTCCTCCTGTGGCTGGTGCTGTGCCTGGAGATGAAAGGGAACGGTGCAGGAAATGCAAAAGCTGTTGCACGTGCCCCCGGGGCTCCTGTGTGTGCCCGGGTGCCCGAGCCCGTGGACTACCCTCCTGTGGGAGGAGAAGATTTTCCCGGGGCAGCTGCCCTCCAGAGGTACCACCCAGCCTTGGAGGGTGGAAAGGGAAGAGGTCAAACATGCAGCTCCAGTCTGTTTATCTCTTTGAGAGGGGCTGGTGTTTCCATCTGAGCTGGATGGCGGAGAGGCTGAGCAGCCCAGCTGATGCAAAGCTTCACACAGCGTTGTGTTTTCCCGTTCCACAGAAAGCAGACCATCCTGCTCTTCAGTGTGATAAAGGAGGCTGCTTCGTGGGCTATCGTGAATAAGGCTCAGTGTGCTTTGAAAAAGGTGGCATTTTCTTTCTTAATCCCCTATTGAATTCCAAGGTCACTGTGTACGGACCATGAATGTTTATTTTATTGATTTCTCTAGACTGCCCTAAGTTCAGCTGTGATTTGATGCTGCAATACTTTGAGGGTGACAGTTCCTGTTCAAAATAGTGCAGAGCCACCCCCTAGCCCTGCTCTTGGACTCTCGGGGAGGACCCTGAGTAGGGGCTGCGTGCCCCAATGACAGTCAGAATTTGCAGAAATAATGTGAGGTTCCTCGGGGAAGACTTTAACGAAATATTTCTGATATCAAATTGAGGACTGACTTGATGGGAGGTTGAGTTGTGTGGCAGTGCTGATGGTATGAAACACCTTTCTGTTTTCTTTAGCCTGGTCTGGGCATTTAAAAAGAGGGAAGTTTACACTCAATTATGAGCAGGAGAATTTTGCTTATTGCAATTTTGCTTGGTTCTGGTGAGAAACCACCTGTGAAGAAAGGCTGGAGGGTGGTGTGCTCTAAGCTGTAACATACCTGAGTTAAGGGAGCCCTCCAAGATATATATGCAGCGTGGAGTGTCAGGAGGCCTCTCCACTTCCATTGGCAGCTCCTCCTCGTATTGGGTTGCCCCCTCTCCCTGGAGGCATTTTGAGAGGCAGAACATGGGAGCTTCCCTGCAGTCTCCTCCCTCCCTTGCTGTTACCAGAGGCAAGGACCTGTGCTAAATGACAGACGAGGTATCTTAATTGCTTAGCTTGTTTAATATTCATGGTTAAATATATACTATATCCTCCAGCTGCTGTAGAGTGGAAACTTTATAAAGCAAAAGGTCAGTTTACTGCTGCTTCCTTCCAGAGTATGAAGCACAACTGTAATGCATAATGCTCTCTTCTGGGCGGTGTACAAAGCCTAAAATGTAATTGCTTCTATCTGTCCATCTCCACATGCATTTTGTTTTTATTCCAGGTACATAAATCTCTGCCCCTTGAGGTTCTTCAGCAGATGGATGCTGGTCTGATTAAAGTGTTGATAACGAGTGTTACTAATGGGAGTACAGTGGTAAGTTTCAATTTACTGATTGCAGAAGATGTGGATATCTACTACATCATCACCACTTTTCGTGATGCCTTTGAACACAGCTCCTATTTCACAGTTGACAAGAGCAATCTCTCCATAAACGGTAAGGAGCAGCTTGTATCCCAATAATTCTTCAGAACTAGAAAGATGATAAAGCCTATTATTAATCTGTATTTTCTGAGGTGAAAGTATCTGTAAAACAGGCGGATGAAAAACCATTCTCTCTCCTTATATTGCTCCTGCTTATCCATCCAATAAGCTTTTTCAGAGAACATCAAAAGGTGAAATAAGAAGTGAGGTACTCCTGATCCAAAAGGACAAAACCAACTGATCTTTTTGTCTATAGCTAGCATTAATTTTATAGAGAAGAAGATACAGAGACGTTAGAAACAGTGGTCACAAATTGAGGGTTTTATAAGCTACCAGGACCTGGAAACAGGTCCCTGTACACAGACATAACTAGCTCTGCTTAAAATAATTTCGAAACACATTACTGTCTGCTTTGCACTGATAATTTTGCATGTGATAGAAACCTCAAGAAACAAATAAATGAACACGTGAATTCTTCTGCGCTGGGAGTATGTGTTTTCCTCCCATACCTGTGGGTCGGGAGTTCAGATGAAAGTCAACACCAAGACCAGCACAATGGCTGATTGCACAACTTCTTTTCCTTTATATGTAATTTAAGTTGTTAACAAGAAACATTAGCCTCCTGACTAACTGCTGTTGAATTCTGTTTCACAAGTCTATGTGTCATCTCTGGGAAAAATAACAAATTCTATATCCCTAACATGATACGTTTGTCCAAAGAATATTGTTATGAGCTATTAATTAGAATCTCACGCAAAATTACTTCAGAAGCACGTATATGGTCTGCCCTGTACATTCTCTTTGCCTGTTACCCTTACAGCTGTGAATCTGGAAAATTACCTATCCCATTAATTAGTAAGATCATGACTATCTCGTGGTAGTGCTTTGTAGAGTGCCTGCCCCCCTCGAACCTGTGCTAAAGCAAATGGTTCGTTTCAGGGACAGGTCCCCATAGAGCAGGTGGTTAGTGCTGCTTTCTGAGTCCCACCTATGGTGTTACATCCTTATTTGCACAGTTACAGTTAGACCTTGGGAAGAGAAAGGGAAGTAAAGCATATTTTTCCTTTCAAGAATGAAAACTTTGGCCAGGTAAAAATTAAGAAAGCCACTAGACTGCAACTTGGACCAGTCACACAAACCTCCTGCTTCACTCATGCTGGGCATTTACTAACCATCTCCTCACGAGTGTGGAACGGAGGAGGCAGCTGAGGAAGCCCCCGGGGTTAGAAGCATCCCCTTGGGCTGTTGATCTGTTTAGGAGGATAGGAGCTCTGCAGCAGGGTGTCTACACTTCAGTGAGTATCTGCTGAGCGTCACTGGTAGCACAGCTCCTGGAGGGTTTTGTCAGTGCCTTGCAATCAGCCCTCTAGTCTGTGCTTCCAGTGCTCCACCTCTTCTAGACCCAGCAGCTGCCTGACACGTACAGTAGAGTATCACACCTAAGAGGTGTAATCCCACCATGATATCATGATGATATGACCGTGCTCCAGTTTCAGAACCATCACATTTTCATTTATACACTCTCCACCTTTGCCTTTTGCTTAAATATACCCGACAGATTATGATGAGTGCAAAAGCGAAGAAGATGACTGCTCCCCGGATGCATCGTGCCATAACACACTTGGGTTTTACCAGTGCAGCTGCAATGAAGGATTTGCTGATGTGCATCCAGAAAGGCCTGGAAGAAGCTGTGAAGGCAAAATAAAATTTTATTACCTAATGGCTAACTAGATGCTTAGTGGTCTGATCTTTATTGGATCACGGTAACACTTGCCACAGGTCTTGAAATTTTGCCAGGGATGAATTTGGTTCCTTGTTTTCAGCTGGATCCTAATGGGAAGTCTTGCAGCAGACTTTAAGTATTTCTGACTGTAATACTCTGTCAGGAGAGTTTACTATATTAATATTTAATGCTGCCTTTGTAAGGTTCTTTTAACAGTTCTGTTTTCTCATATTTGCCATTAAAATTAGATAGGATTGTCAAGATTGTTAGTTATTTTCATTAGCAGTAGCAGAGGGGACAGCAGAGATAATAGAGAAGGAAACAGAAAGAACTGGGTATGTGGTTTGATCTCTGTATGGCAGCAGGGCTGAAATGCTGGTATTACAAACTACTTTTTTGTATGAGTCAATTCATCTAGCTTCTCTCCTTCCTTAAATCATTTGTTAGCTGACATATGATGGGTCTTTAAGCTCCTAAAATCTTTTAGGCTTTCTCAGTGATTTGTATTTGTTTTTGTAACCACAGTGATAAGCTACTCTCTGGCTGAAGTCACCAGGATTTGTCAACTGATACCAACCTCTGCTCAGTTTTGTTTAACCAAGATATTTAGCATTATGACAAAGAGCTTTTAGGAAATTCAGCTCTGAAAGAGCTCAAACTTTTCTTTATCTTCCTCTTACGTTCAGATCAGCAGCTTTTTAATTTGGGGCATTTCCGACAGCTGGGGAGTTCCAGAAGGATATATATATGTACAGATTTTATGTGTTGCTTGGAAAATAGATGCTATCTGTATGTAGAACCCATTAAAATTATTTAAGAGAATTTCTGTGCGATGAGACACATCCTTTGTGTTTCACTGCAAATGGAGTTTATTATCTTGGTGCTCTGTAAGTCAGTGGTGGATGAATACTTAGGTTGTTTCTACCAGCAAAGAGCCATGGGGTAACCCCAGAGCCTGTGCTGGATGTCGGGTGTTCGACATACACATTGATCTCAACCTGTGCTTCCCCTTTTCCCCTGCTTGCTTTCTTCCTGAAACCATCAAAGATTGCTATTAACACATTTGTTCAACTCCCCACTGTGTCTCTCAGGACACACGTACAATGTGGGCCTGCTACATGAGGTTTGTCTTGCACTTCCCCCAGAATGGGTTTTCCAAAGTGCTCAGGGTCATATCTTTTGGGTACATCATTTGGTCACAAATGGGGCCAGGGTTTTTAACAAACTCTGCTCCTGTTTGTACGCCACAGCCAGAAGTGTGCAGTCTCCTACAGTACTAGGCAAAAAAATATGAACACTTGCTGAGCAACTTACAGCTGGGGATCTCTTGCAAGCACTGATCTTCCAAAAGCTGTATATAAGTGTTTTGCATGAGCACACTAATTATTGCAGCTCTCAGGAAATAAAGGACATCAGCTTTACTCACAGATGCAATGTATCTCTTGTGCTCTTTCTTAAAAAAAAGCCACAGCTTTGGCAGCGAGTAGAGCAGGTTAAAAAACCAAAAGAAGCTAGTTTCCTGCCAGTAACTATGAGTTTCCTCCTAAGGGTTTGCTCTTACCTTATAAAATCAATTTGAATCTGTAAATTACAACAATACCTTTATTTTTGGCACTCTTCAGCATTTCCTATCAGCCAAGAGGCAACACTGACGGATAAGAAACCTGTACACAACACAGCTTTACCTGCAACATCTTTGCAAACTTCAACTCGTGTTTCCTCCCCTGCTTCCCTGAACTTCTCTACTGCTGAGCACAAAGCTCTGGAGAAGACCACGTTCTCCAGCGTGGTGCTGCCTCCTCTCACCACGGATCCTGTGTCAACTCCCGACGCTTATCCTCAAGCATCTCCTGTCCCCCTCGTTAAACCTGCCCAGGAGGTTTCCATTAAAGATGCTGTGAGAGTGTTCTGTGAAATCGAGAAGATTGTCCTTGCTGTCCAGAAGAGATTTTTACAGCAGGAGTCTATCCCGGAAACCTCCCTGTACCTGGGGGAGCCTCGCTGCAACGTGAGCATCAGCAATGGCACTCACGTTGTGCTGCAGGCAGGCTGGAGCGACTGTGGCACTGAAGTTGAGACTGTAAGTCCCCTGAGCCAGTGAATGCAAAGAAGCCCCGGAGTATTTTTTTTTTTTTTTATCTTGGGATTAGAGTGAGGAGGGGGGCAATGGCAGATCCTTAGCTAGGAGTACAGTCTATTAGTTGCTGAAATGTTGGATGAAGAAATTTCTTTGGAGAAAGAAAACCTCTTCCTGTGAGTGGAAGGTTACCCCACTGTTTGGGGAGGAGGGCAAGCAAGAAAGAGAAGGGGAATCCTTGGGGTCAGGCAGCAAAACTCAAGGGCTTCTCCAAACTGAGAGTCACTTCCCATGTCTCTCTGGGTTCCCTCTGCAGCTGTCAGAAGCTTCTCTTTTCTTAAAAGCAATTTCATTATCATATTTAGGCAAATACCCCAATTGCTACCAGTAATGGGGACAAAGAGTGATGTCTCTCTCTTTGGATCCCAAACCAAACGCTATGCTCAGGCCATGCCAAAGAACAGAAATTCCCTTGTGGAGCAGACTGAGGAAGAGGAGGAAGGCTGGTGGATTTTCATTGTCTCACTGTAAAGCAAATAAGATACTAGAGGTTTAATCTGTTTGATTTTTGCAGCCAGGAGAATGGAGAATTCCGAAGCACTTGAAGCTGGTACGCCTGTAACTCTGTTATATCCCTAAATACATTGATGCTCACAAGTTGTGGTTTCTTCTTTCTGTGTTCCAGAACATGACTAATACTGTAGTGAAAACCATCCTTCGGAATGATGTTTCTGCTCAGGGAGTAATCCACCATTTAAAAGTTGCCAGTCCCGTTCATTGTGTGTTTCAAAACAATCTCTTGACTTCCTCTGGATACACTGCAGAAGGGTAAGTAACAACTCTCTCTGCTTTGAAATGCTGTTGTGTGCCTAAGCACTGTGTCCCTATCCCCAGGGACCTTAGCTGTATCCAGTGACTATGCCAAGTAGTCTGCCAACCTGCGAGTCCCGTGCTCAGGTGACTCCTGTTATGAGCTTCTGTCCTACTCCATCTAATGTGTCAATAGATCCAACAGCCAACAAGATTGGCAATTGCTTGGCTAAACCATAGATGAAAATAAACCTTTGGGAGCCACCGGTGCAGGTTCGGGAGCCAGAATTCCTGACTCCTCTTTGCCTTCCTGGGCAACCACGTGTAGCAATAACAGTATTTTCCTGCTTTTGGAACATAACAATGATGTATCTTTTCAACTGATGTAGGCATGCAGACTGCTATGTGGGTGCTGAGCATGGCAATTTTTAAGCCCCACAAATCCTTATTTGATCAACTTGGAAAAAAGAGAAGGTATGTAATGCAAATGCTTTTTCATGGAAAGTCTCATCTTCAAGTACGATGGAACCTAATCCACTGTTCACAGAAAATCAAACCCATGCTCACAGAAAAGGTGGCAGCACAAGCTTTGGTCTGATGGTGAATGTTCTCCCTTCGTCCAAGTGCACCTCCTTTCTCTTGCCTAGCACCATGCTTAAGCTATCATCACCAAACCCACTTTCTGTTTCCTAACCCTCCAGACATTGTATTTTCCTTTCTATCCCTCCACAAAGTCTTTGTCGGGCCCCTTCTCTCTGAGCTCTATAATTTTCTCATGTCCCTCACTTACTGTTCAGATTTGTCCCTTCTCCTTAATTTTTTTTGGCTCTTCTCTTCTTCACTAAGCCTTTACTCTCCGTATTTTGAATTTTAAGACAGCTCATAGTTTTGTTCCCCTTCAGCTCCACTCAAATATCTCTCTCTGCTCTATTTGTATTGCCAAGACATTCCACCCTTTGGATTTTCCCACTTGCATTTCCAAGGTCCCTACCTTCCCAACTAAAAACTCGATGCATTTTCACCCTTTCCTCTTGAACAGTGTCCTAACATCCTGGACTGCAGATAACTCTTCGCTACTTAAATGTGCAAGAGGTGGAGAAACAGGCACTGATTTATAGAAACACATAGTCAAATTTGTGGTCTTTAAAGGAGGTTAATTGTTGTTTCAGAGTTTACACCATCTTTGAGGATTTGCATGGATCTGGACACTTCAGAACAGAAATGCAGTTGTTTATTGGCAACTCCCCAGTACCAAAAAATTTCAGTGTCTCTGCCAGTGATGATGTTCTGATTGAAGTGGGGATCCAGAGAGCAGACAGCAAGCTCAAGGTGGTCCTCACTGACTGCTGGGCGACTCCAACTAACAATTCAGTGGATCCCCGCTCATTTCCTTTTATCAGCAACAGGTACGGCAATGCCACTCGCAAATAGCATGTGCCATACCTTAGATCTTCCAGTGGCGCTGACTACTGAAGTGTTACATTTTAAATGCCTTTTATGTGTGTTCTCATCATTCATATACACTGTCCCTTACCATTCTGACTGGTCACCCCTTCTTTGAACCAGGAAGGTAGGTATGAAAAGAAAATGTTTTCAAAGGGTAATGTGGTAGTTGTTTCAGTTTGGTTGTCTTCCCCATAGTTTTGTAAAGCAATTGTACTTTTGACCTGAAGAAATAGGTGGTTTTGGCAGTCAGTAGTGAAAGAACATTGAAAAGTGTGTGCTTTATCTATTTCTCTGTGGTTCAGATATTACCAAGAGCTTATATGACTCTCATCAATGAAGGTGTAGGTTAGCTGAATCCTATCTGTTGTGACTCACAGACAATATTAATGCAACCTCTGGTAAAAGAGGAGGTTTGTTCCTGTCTGGATCCCTGATCTCACCCCGATGTCATATTCCCTGGGCTCACCCGCCACCTTAAAATACAGGATAGTCCTTTTGCTCAGTAACAAAAGCTATTCCTTTTAACATGATGTTCTTTCATTTTGTGTTTGGTGAAGCCAAGTTTAAATCCTTCTTTCTGTCACTCTTTCTCTTCTTTTCCAACACTCCAACCACTTCTCGAATCTCCTATTCTATCCGGATAGTGTGAGAATAAAGCAGCAAATAGCCCCTTATCACCCCTGCACTGCTGGAGAGTTGCTTCATGGTGGGTCTGGCTGCAACCTTCTAAAGGAGCCTCGCAACCTGAGTTATGTGCTATGACCACAGCACGCCTTCTATAGCCCTAGCTGCTACGTATGTTTTTTCTCTTCCTTTTCAGCTGTCCCATCCCAAATACGTACACCACACTGCTAGAGAATGGGAATTCAAGCAAAGCACAGTTTAAGATGAAAATTTTTTCCTTTGTCAACAATTCTGTGGTTTACCTACACTGCAAAATACGTATTTGTATGGAGACACCAGGAAGTACCTGCAGGACGGTAAGTGTTTTGATCCGATATGCTATTTTTCTCCGACATGTCATATGCAGTCCTGCTATGGAATTGAAGGAGTAATGTTTCCAAACAGGGTTTAAAATAGCTCTTGAAGTTTTCCTTCATTCTCTGGTGAGAGCAGAGAGGAGTGGGGAAGAACTACAACCATATGGAAGTGTCCACCTTTCTTCCTGTTCCTCATCCTCATAGTTAAAAGCATGGAGCTTGCACAGAAACGGGGAAATCAAAGTTGGGGAACCTGAGAACTGAACCTTTTGCCTCTGCATAGGGGTGACTATAAGGCAATGAACAGAAGTCACAATGAGATAGGCTGTTCAGAAACATGTGAGCTCAGATGGACATGTCACAAAAAAGCGAGCACCCACATTGGCAGTGTCAGCAGGAAAGTCTGAGTAAATTGTTTTGGGATATTTTTCTGTCCCTTTTTTTCCCCTAGAGATTTGCTTCTCCAGGTGAGAGTTTAGGTGCCAGGAAAGGAAGCTCAGTGGCATTAAGTTTCTAGGGCTGTGACTCTATTAGAGTTTATTACGGCTTTTTAAAACCATATTGCTTTTGAAAGCAATAAACCAAGCAATGTTCTGATAACAACTTCAGTTTCTAATTCTCTGTGCTCCAAAGCGTTGCTTTGTGTCTTTTTACTTCTACGTAAGTGATACACACTGCTTCATCTAAAAATGTGTTGCTACCATAGAAATAAGAAAAAAATAGATTTTGCTGATGGCTTTTTTTTTTCCTTTATAGCAGGCACACAGGAAGTCTCCTCTCCCTCTGCCAACCTTCCTGTCTCTTTTTCTATCAAGGATGTTTTCATTAGCAGTTTGGTGTTCCTCCATTGTTAAACACTTTCCTCTAGTTCTAAATAACTCCGTTTAAGCCCTTTATAAAGCAAATTATCTCTTCCTAAAAGATTAAAAATGGCTAGCAGAAGATACTTGTTTCCTTTCTCTAAGTATAAAGCTTCCTCCAGAACAAAAAAAAAGTAGGAACAGGAAACATGACTGACAGATGGAAAGATGGCTCCAGTTTTCACAGCTGAATTTGTGTGTTAAAAATCAGTGCTTCAGCAACCCCCAGCCTATGCCCTCCTTTGGAGGAGGTGGTGCCCTCCCCGAGTTCCCTGTGTGTCCTGCACAGCTGAGGAGGGACATGGTGATGGGTGCAAGGCAGGGGAATAAGAGGGATGGGCAGGGCAGGGCAGGGATTGTGTGGGCTGGTGTGGCTGCTGTAAGGAATCAAACAGTTGCTTTGCTAGGAGCTGCTGGGTTTGCTGCTAGAGCAGGCTTTAGCTGTACAGATTAGAGTTTAGGAACATGGTTAACTAAAGGACTGGCTTTGAGCTAAATTACAGGGGTCTGTGATGGGGTAATTCCACTAGCCCAAGATGAGGTTTGATTGAGGTTGACATCTGCACAGCGGAGTTAATCAGTGAGGCCCTCTTCTGTCATATATTTTATATTATTCATTTCTCTATTATTGATATGTGTGTATATATATATAAGAGATATATTGTTCTTTCTCCTGTGCAAAATTTACGTCCTATGAAAAGTTAGTGAATTCAGTATTTTAGATTGAGATTAAAATGTTATGTGGAGAAGATAAGTACTAGGCACATCTACACAGGATGACAATGGTTTTTACAAAGAAGGGAAGGGGAGCTGCAGGAGGTGCAAAGATCAAGGAAAATTGGAGCAAGAACAGAGTATATTTGGAAATAATGTGAGATGGCTGGGAAAGTGCCCAGGGTCTGGGAACTGATCCTCTGATCTGTCTGCTACTCTGCAGAATACTGACTCGCTTCAGGGCAGATTTGCTTCAGCTCTTTGCCCACAAAATTGAGACTTACATCTTGTATTATTTCTTCTTGCCCAGTCTTTTATTCCTTGTTTTCTTGGCGGAAGAAAGTAAGGTGCTCTAAAGTTTAGAGTAGAAAAAAATAGACAGGCTGGGGAGCAATGTAGTAAGAAATGAGTAAGAAACATGACTTTGAATGGGAAGAGGAGCGATGTGCCACCACCATGCATATGTTTGGTGGAATGTGGCTGCTCCATGGCCACATGGAACCAAAAAATCATCGACATCAGGGAGCAGCTATGTAACCGTATTCTCTAATAGATCCGCCTAGCTGGGAAAGCTATTCAAGGGCAGTCCAAAGTCGCAGCTACATGGGTATTTTTCTGGGGGCTGACCCAGCTAAAGACACTGTTGCTGACAGTGGATTGTAGAGGTTTTTCAGTGTAATGAGGCTGGTAACACTGCTGAGACGTTCTTGTGTAGACAAGCTGGTAAGACACCCTTGCGCTTCACTGCTTTCTTTTGCTGATTATAGTATGGTACTGCAGTTTCTCTGTTTTTATGTGCACTTCCAGGAGAGCCACAGTATCTTTTGAATAACCTAAACAGGCTACAGCTCCAATCAGAGACTTTTAGGTTACAGCTTGAAACAAAAAGGTAGCAGACAAACTGAATGGTGCTACTGAGGAAGCGTGCAGAAGATGAGTGTGCTGTGTATTCTGCAAGTGCTGCTCACACAAAGCTGAAGCAGCTGATCCCCAACCTTTCACGGGTCAGGGCTTTCAAACTAGTAGTTCCCAGATTAGTAGTTCACATGTCACTGAAAAGTTGTGCGTTGCTTCAAAATGACACACAACTTGGCAGGGGCTGAAAGTTGCTGCTGCTTTTGCTGGTGCTGGTTGTAGTATCTGCTGTGCCTACCATGGCAGTAGAAACATCCAAACAAAAATGTTTGCAAAACCCTGGCATACAGAAATAGTGAGAAGTTTATTCTCCCATAAGGTTTCTCTAAAACAAACAGAAAGTTAATGAAAAGAAAGAGATTGTCTGTGTGAAATGTCTGTTCACAGCAGTGTTTTCCAGTGTGACTAATCACAGGTTTTATACTGAAGTTTCCCTAATGTCATTTCTTTTGAACTTCCATTTGGTGCTCATTTCAGTTTAACAAAGCATAACATTAAGAAACAAAAACCCCCATGGGTGAGAATAGCACTGGGCTTTCACATACTCATCAGAAGGCTTTGTATTTTTAATTAGTAAGCCATATTACTTGTTGGAATTTGAATTGATTGTTGCAGAGATGCCATGCGGTTCGATCCCTGAAGACTGGTGAAACCATTGCTACGTACAGAACATCCTGGGGACCCCTATGTAAATTGGCTGGTGAGTTATGAATAGATGCTTACAAAAAGGGGACACAGAGTAACTGTCATTTCAAGATTCTTTTTCACTGGCAAAGGAACCTGAAGGCCTGTGATACAAATTTTTCATGCCCCTCTGCATATTTTTCTGAGGAGCAGGTGTTCTTACTGAAACCGTATGGCAGTGTGGAAAAGCATGTGCCCTCCTTGGTGAAGTGACTGTCAGATTGTCAAGAGAATGTAGAAAGGAAAAGGAAAAAGTGCTTCATGTAGCTATTTGCACAGGGTAGCAAGTACAACAGCCACAAAATCAGTTATTACAATTGTAAAGTGTGAAAGCAGCTTGAACCTTTTAGATTGCAATCAGTTTTTCAAGTGTTTCCCCTACACTGTTGTTAGACTGCAATTATATTGAGCTCCGAAGTCCAAAATCAGAGGAGATAAGAGATAGTATTGTTGTGTTTCCTTAGACTCCCTGGTATTGACTTCATTAGTACTGTGAAGGAAAGTGGCAGAGCACAGCAGATGCACAGCACCTTGGTTAATCTGGTGGAGCGGTACCGTACAGGTTAATAGAGAGCGAACGCCAGCACTGTCTACAAGCAAGGTCTAATTTGTTATGCATCTGCCTCTTCTGCATTTGCCCTGAGTGCTGTTTTCAAGGGCATCTGTGGCCTCTAACGTTTTCAGTCATTTGGCCTCCTCCAGCCATTTGCATTCATATCTTATTAGAGTAAAACACTCATTGAGAGTATTTGTACACACCAATATCAGAGTTTTAACACATGGCTACTGTGAATAGACAGAAGTCACCCCCTTTACTCCTGCTGCTTGCCTGTTTCGCCAGTCACTTAATGCTCTTCTGACTGTGGAGATAAGTTAATGCTGGACTGTTAGTGGGTTCAGGGTATTTTTTAGTTCTCTGCTGTGACCATCACAATGTTCTTTTGGACATAGAAACTGGCTCTGACTTAGTGTATTGTATTTTTCATAGAATCATAGAATCATTGAGGTTGGAAAAGCCCTCTAAGATCATCGAGTCCAACCGTCGACCCAACACCACCACCCACTAAACCATGTCCCTAAGTGCCTCATCTACTCGTCTTTTAAATACCTCCAGGGATGGGGACTTAACCACTTCCCTGGGCAGCCTGTTCCAATGTTTCACCACTCTTTCAGTAAAGAAATTTTTCCTTACATCCAATCTAAACCTCCCCTGGCACAACTTGAGGCCATTTCCTCTCGTCCTATCGCTTGTTACTTGGGAGAAGAGACTGACACCCACCTCGCTACAACCTCCTTTCAGGTAGTTGTAGAGAGCGATGAGGTCTCCCCTCAGCCTCCTTCTCTCCAGGCTAAACAACCCCAGTTCCCTCAGCCGCTCCTCATAAGACACGTTCTCCAGACCCCTCACCAGCCTCGTTGCCCTTCTCTGGACACGCTCCAGCACCTCAATGTCCTTCTTGTAGTGAGGGGCCCAAAACTGAACACAGTATTCGAGGTGCGGCCTTACCAGTGCCGAGTACAGGGGCACGATCACTTCCCTACTCCTGCTGGCCACACTATTTCTGATACAGGCCAGGATGCCATTGGCCTTCTTGGCCGCCTGGGCACACTGCCGGCTCATGTTCAGCCGGCTGTCAACCAGCACCCCCAGGTCCTTTTCTGCTGGGCAGCTTTCCAGCCACTCTTCCCCAAGCCTGTAGCGCTGCATGGGGTTGTTGTGGCCGAAGTGCAGGACCTGGCACTTGGCCTTGTTGAACCTCATACAATTGGCCTCGGCCCATCGGTCCAGCCTGTCCAGGTCCCTCTGCAGAGCCTTCCTACCCTCGAGCAGATCAACGCTCCCGCCCAACTTGGTGTCGTCTGCAAACTTACTGAGGGTGCACTCGATCCCCTCATCCAGATCATCAATAAAGATATTGAACAAGACTGGCCCCAAAACTGAGCCCTGGGGAACACCACTCGTGACCGGCCGCCAACTGGATTTAACTCCATTCACCACAACTCTCTGGGCCCGGCCGTCCAGCCAGTTTTTGACCCAGCGCAGAGTACACCTGTCTAAGCCGTGAGCCGCCAGCTTCTCTAGGAGAATGCTGTGGGAGACGGTGTCAAAGGCCTTACTGAAGTCCAGGCAGACCACATCCACAGCCTTTCCCTCACCCACTAGGCGGGTCACCTGGTCATAGGAGGAGATCAGGTTGGTCAAGCAGGACCTGCCTCTCATGAACCCGTGCTGGCTGGGCCTGATCCCCTGGTTGTCCCGCTCATGCCTTGTGAGCGCCCTCAAGATGAACCGCTCCATAATCTTCCCCGGCACCCAGGTCAGGCTGACAGGCCTGTAGTTCCCCGGATCCTTCTTCCGGCCCTTCTTGTAGATGGATGTCACATTGGCAAGCCTCCAGTCGTCCGGGACCTCCCCTTTTTCTTCCATTATATGCAAGTATTAGTCTGTTAGGCCTTCGGTGTTCATTTCTGAATTAGGTTTTTTTAAAACTTAGCAATTAATACAGCTTTCTTTGTACAGCACTTACATCAAGTAGATCTCACTCCCATTTTCACTGGAGACCCCAATGCATTTCTAATATTGAAAAATGGTCATTACACAAAAGGAACTCTGGTGAGGGGAGCTTTATTTGGGTTGTACTACACCGATTCCTAGGCAAAGGTGGCGCTACTAGATGTTGTCTCCTATTTCCAGTTTGGATACTCACATTGCATTTTAAGTGTGAGGCTAGACCTAGACAGTGGTATGCATCTCTGTGTTGAAGGAGACAACATGAATTATGATGTCAGCTAAGCTGCTGCGGTGAAACATGAAAAAAGCTTTAACTGCTCTGCCTATACTGCTTGGCCACATGCTACGGCAAAGACCACTGATACACGTCCTCAGGAAGGCCTGTTCTGTCTGTGTCTGGCTACAGGCTGCCATTTACACTGTGCATCTTCTTTTCTATTCCTTTGTTTCATACTGAAATTCAGAAATAAGCCTAAATATATTATGCAACACTGCTTTGGCCTGTGTTGGAATGATGCCCTGGATGTTATGTAGCTTGGACACTGCTATTGCATACCTCTGTGGCTGCCAACAGTGCCCTTTGGCCAAAGATCTTGTCTCTAATTACAGGCATGTATGCATTAGCATTTGTCTTCTGTGCACCTCAGGTACTGCACAAGTGCTTGGCTAAGTAAGAGCTGTCCAGAAAATGTATGCAAACAAATAGATGTTTTTGTAGGTGCATCAAGCATTTACAAGAATTAATTAGAAGCGTGCAAGAGTACATGTACAAACATGAATAGAGGCATAATGTTAAAGGGAGAGGGGATTCTCCTTGCAGATTTGGACAAAAACATGGAAGTGTCTATATGTGAACCAGGCGAACACATTCTGTCGATGATCACTGGCACCTAGGGAGACAGCTGGCAACAAGGGACTTGACTCTTGCCCACACATAGGCATTTAGTGCTCATGATCCATGGTGCCCCTATTCTTTCCTTCTCCTCAGTGCCTGGGTGCTATTCCAAAAGACTATAGGTCTCCTGCAGGTCCCATGCCATGTCTGCCAGACCCATGCAGACATTGTAGACACCCTCGGGCTTCTCAGGTGGCACTAGATGCCTATGCTCAGGCTACAGACATGAGCCCATGGTGACCACTTCAGTGTGACTCACTTACCTGCCTCCACTGACTGCCCCAGCCAGATCTCTGCTGACTAGAGTGGTTGCTTAGAGACCCAGCACACATGGAGAATCCTTCCCTAAATGCTCTGTGTTTAAGGAAGTGTTACATATGAGATAAAAGCAAATCGAGTGGTTTTTAATAATCGTAGATGAATGGGGGCAGTATTAAGATGGAAGAATGCTTCACCTCTAGGGTCATTCTAAAAATAAGGTAGCATTTCAAAAAGTCACCACTGCTGATCCTTTAATTCTTATTTTAACAGAAAATTGTAGAGTCAAATTCCAAAGACCCATCACACTCATGTCTGCGGGGACTCTACGCTTGTACGTAAAAAGAGAACATGGACTGTAGCTCACAGACCTTTCCATGAGAATCACCCTCCCCAAAAGGCTGATTCACTTCTGTATCACACCTCTGTGCTTCAACATGCATGTTGGCTAATTTGTAGGCAAGGCTTGTTTCTTACCCCAGGAAAAGATTTAGGAATTTCAAAGCTTTTTTCTTTCACCTCTTGTTTTCTTTAGCATCTGATTTGAAGAGAGAGAAGGAGGCTGGGATGGGAGCTGGATACATCATCCTCATTGCCTTTGCTGTGTTTGGTTTTGTGCTGGGAGTTGTGAGCCTTTTCATTTTCCAGTACCAGCGAAAGATGGGAAGATACAACTTCAGAATCAAGTCTGACAACTTCAGCTACCAAGTGTTCTACGATTAGCGATTTCCAGGTTACCAGATCTAAGTACTGGATTCTGATCAGTTACTTTTTTTAGCTGTTTATCTTTTCCTGAAATGGTTAAATACTTGCAGATGAGCATCCTCTGTTTAAGGGTATTTGCACCTCCTGTCGTGTTTGCTGTGGGTGAAGGTCGTAGAAGTAAGAATGGAATTCCTACTATTCTTGCCTGTTTTCAAGTGCTGCAGACTACAGAGGAGGAAGACAGCCTTCTCTTCTTCATCTTCCTTCATGGCTTTGGTCTCAGTCAGAGCAAATGACACATCGCTTTAGAAGAACACCAATAACCATTTCCACAAAAAGCATATCACTTTTGGTTTTGGATCATGGATTAGTATACCAAAGGAGAGAAACTTTACCACTCTATAAATCTGCTTCAGAAACTAATTTGCTTCAGAAGTTATCCCTTTCTGCAAAAGCTTGGGTTTAATTTTTTTTTTTTTTTTGGAGGGGGTGTTTTTCGATAAAATAATGGCATGTTAGATATAAAGAGCTTGAAATATTGATAATGCATAAGCAGTGCTTACAAGTGCCTGCAGAGTGTCTGAAGAGACAGCTCTGAGGAGTGTTAACCACTACCACACGTTCTGCCTCTGCAACTTGGGAATTTAACACTTTTCCAGAATACCATAGGATTCAGCACTTTTTCTGTAAAATGGGTGTGTTCTAGCTGCTCAGCACCGTTTGTATGTTTGTCCCTTTAAGAGGAGGAGGGAGAGATGAGAAAGCTGGCTTGGCGAAAAAGAACACCTAACATTGCTTCACAACTCAAGGATGTTTACTGATGATCTGATCAAATTCTGTTCCTGGGAACAGGCTTATTTGACATTGTTACCAGAGTTAGTCAGCAACTGTTTCCTGATGGAGGACTCATACATGACAATGCAGCTGCCATGACTACAGTAAATTCACTAGAGACATCATGATGGTATTTGCAGATAATTTAGTTTGCTTCACTAAGTATAATGATGCTTAATATATATCACAGAAAGGACAGGTAAGACTGTATCCCAGCTATCTGCTTGTAAAGTCTTGAATAGTCACTATTAGCTCTGTTTCCCCTAGTCTTACGTTACAGAGACCATCCTCTGTAGCCATCTATGGGCAGCTCCTAGGAAATCGCTGTAGGTGAGGGTGCTCTGATTGCTCTGATTGCTTCCCAAAGGCTGGGCAGGGCTGCCTGTCTGGAGCCCAAAGGGAAGGTACCCAGGGCTCCTTGGTACAGCTCCAGCAGCTGTAAGTGATACAGGTCCCACTAGGGAGCCATAATCCAGCATAAAGGGCATATCTAGGTCCATTAAATTAAAACCTGTATATGAAGCCTCTGAGTCTCTCCACAGAGAGAAGAATGCCTTCTCTTCATTTGCCATTCTGCTCTCATGAGTGGTCGTGGGCAACTGCAATACTTGATAGTAATGGGAATTCTGCATTGTGCAGATGAGGTTGTAGCAGAAAGGATATTGCCAGGCTCATAATGCTTATACATCACGTTGGAGTCTCAGCTAATGGCTCCTTTTAGATGCTGGAACTACTCATCTCTTCTTTCTTATGTATTTACTTTCTTTGGAAGGTAGTTGATTACCTTTCTCAATCATGACTAGTTTGTTTTTTATTTTTTCTAGTTGGATCATGTCTCATCACATGGAGAACTGAAGCTTGTCTTCACTCAGCATTTGGCTTTCATTACTCGTCACAACGGTGGTCATGACTGGTTGCAACACCTACTCTTCCAAATTAATGGCACATATAAAAGGCTTCTATCCCCCCTCTTATTTTTATTTTTATGTTTTAGCAATCTGGCTCTTCCCTCGTGTCCTAAAAACTATTTGTGACTGCAGCTCCAGGTTGAAGTGAATTTTGGTGGTTTTTTCCACGGATAAAATAGAAGGGAAAAAAGAAAGACTTCATGCTTCTCTAGTCAAATTCCAAGATTTGGCTCTCCCATTGTGCCACATTGCTATGTGCCCATCTTAGCATCACCTGTGCCATTACTATTGACAAGCTGCATGTTTCTATAAATATTCCAGGAAGTAAATCAGCAAACCCTTAGAGAGATCTCCTTTTCAGTTTGTAATTCACTATTTACTTAAGGTGAAGTTGAAACTTCGAGCTGCAGCAACATGGAAGACCTAATTGTGCAACACCTTCAGTATACAGAAGCTGGAGAACAAGTATTGGATTTGGCACCAAATAAAGAAAAGGCACCACGAATCTGGGGCTTAACCTACTCAGAGTGTTCTTCAGCATGAGTATTGAGATTTGATTGTAAATTCTTTAATCGACAAGGACTCAGTGGAAAAAAAAAAAGAAAAAAGAAACCATTTTTGCTACTGGCAGCCCATGTTTTTCCAGATAAGTCAATTGGTACCTATGTATTCTGTTTAATTAGGCCACAACGATTGTACAGTCAAGCCACAGAGTGTGCTGCCCACCTAAGTGTGAGCACTCCGATTGCAACACAATAGTTATAAATTTGAGCTGAATTTTGCCTGGCTGCAAGACCCTACTGTTAGTGCAGCAGCAAAGGTTTAGTTTACATGCTCCATTGGGTCCAACAACAGCCTGTTCAGCTGGATAAACTGGAACAAAAAGCTTTTCCACAGAGTAAGCATCTCCTGCAGGACTGTTTCCCGGGGTGCTCTTCACTCTGCTGCCCCAAACCTCCACTTCAGTGAGTGTGTTAGAAGATGGAGGGTAAAGCGGCGTGGTAACTTGTCCCCACCACCCCTTGGTTCTGATTGCTGCATGCACTCCTCCTACACAGTGCTAGAGTCTGCTGTGTCTGGGTCACATGCAATTCGGTAATTTACAGTGAACAAGCTAATTCCTCTTTATGCTCAATGGACACCATTATAAATAACTCTTAGTGGAAATTGGTCATTAACTTGAACTCACAAATACTCTTAGTAGCCACAGCATTTAGGTACTGATTTTTTGGTACAGAATAGCACTGGAAAGCTGCTTTTCTATCCCCCTAGTCCAATTTCTGTTAGGTAATAAGATTACCTGGTAAAGGACTTCTACATTTTGCAAAAGGTCGTACTGACTGATCTTAGAGGTTATATATACACCTTTTAAATACATCAATAAATTTCAGAATAATCATTTGCATTTTGCTTTTGGTTCAAGTGAATCTATAAGGAGTAAAAATCTTTGACTTGTCTTTTCCTTGCTGAAATATCAGTTACCAGATCCTGATATAAAAAAAGCTCCATTTGGTTGCAATTCATTAGTGAAACTGCAAATTATCTTTGCAATCTTAGAGTCTGATGAACATAACCATTAGCTTTTTATTATGTAGGAGTCTCTTAATTCTTGCTCAGTTTGCTCTCACATATATAATATGTTTGCCTTCTGCACACAGTGAAAGGATAAGCTATTTTACTATAAATATTTTTCTAGTTTTTAGTACTTACAATCCTGACCTGCTTGAAAGTGACAGGACTAGAGACTGATTTCTATTGCCTAGATAGCCTATTGATTTCAGTGGAGCTATGCCATTTACAAAAGCAGAGCACTAGTCTTCAGGATGAAATGCAAAACAGTAGCTTGTATTTGATACCTTGCATGCTCAGCAGAAACTGCTATTGTGACTGAGTCTGTTTAGTGGAGTTTTGGCGTCTTAATAAAAGCACTCTTGTAACTTATTGTTGACTTTTGTGCTGTTATATTTTCCTCTTATGATTTAGTCACAGGTATTAAGATGTGCATTGTGTGGATGTGGCAGCTTCTGAAGAACTGCTCAAGTATGAGTATAATGTTCAAACATCACTCCAAACACAATACATGACCTTAGCCAAACTCCAATGAACTGCAATTACCAACAACTACGTATGTACACTTACTAAAGGTCTCTTTCTTCAACATTACAAAGGGCAAACATATTTTTAGTTTCATGCTTTGCAGCAAAGACAACCAAAAGAGTATTCAACATTCCCAGTCCAATAATAGTATTGCAGCAACGTGGTGATCCAATCTGAAACTAGTGTCACACCAGCCTCCCCGGGCATTTGATTTGTACAGTTCTGGCAGCTGCTCTGAAAGCAGCATATTCAGAGCTTACCCTCGATGAAGCTTACTCTGAGGGCATTAGTGGACTTGTCTGGACCCGAGTGTGAAAAGCAGGGAAGAGCACCAGCACTTGCTCCAACTGCTTCCTTTCTCATCCTTGTGCAAAAGTGTTGCACAGCTGCCACCCATTTTCTTTATTTGTCATTTTTTTCTGTGCTGTGTTTCAGTAGCTAGCAGTCACTGTTTTCTCAGCACTGTGTCCCTTTGTGTCTCCTTTTCATGCTGAGGCACAGAACAGATTGTTCAATTGAGGTATCATAGAATCACAGAATAGTTTGATTTGGAAGGGATCTTAAAAGATCATCTAGTCCAACCCCCCTACCATGGGCAGGGACATCTTTCACTTGATCAGGTTGCTCAAAGCCCCATCCAACCTGACCTTAAACACTTCCAATGATGAGGTATCCACAACTTCTCTGGGCAACCTGTTGCAGTGGTTCACCACCCTCATAATAAAAAAATTGTTCCTTATATTCAATCTAAATCAACTCTCTTTCAGTTTAAAACCATTGTGCCTTGTCCTGTCACTACAGGCCTTGGTAAAAAGTCTCTTTCCATCTTTCTTATAACCCCCTTTATATGTTGAAAGGCTACAATAAGGTGTCCCTGCAGCCTTCTCTTCTCCAGGCTGAACAACCCATCTTTCTCAGCCTTTCTTCACAGGAGAGGTGTTCCATCCCTCTGATCATTTTTGTGGCCCTCCTCTGGACCCACTCTAACAGGTCCATGTCTTTCTTGTACAGGGGACCCCAGAATGGGATGCAGTACTCCAGGTGTGGTCTCACGAGAGCAGAGTAGAGGGGCAGAATCACCTCCCTCGACTTGCTGGCCACACTGCTTTTTATGAAGCCCAGGATACAATTGGCTTTCTAGGCTGCAAGCGCGCGTTACCAGCTCATATCCAATTTTTC